CAGCCCTCAGCACCCCTCTGCCCAGTGCCTTGTTCTCCCCCCGTCCTATGAGCTTATTTATGATGTTTGGAACTTTGACCAGGGAAATCTGAGCTTCTATGTCTTTACTCCTCTTACCACCACACACACACATACACACACACACACACACACCCCATGCCACCCACACACACTGTATACACATCACACAGACACTACCCCCCATACCCAGATACCATATACATACACAGGCATCTCCCACACAAACACACATTACCTGCACACACAAACCACACAGACACACACACATACATCATACCACTCATACACACACACTGCACACACCAGCAAACCACACGTGTGCACACACTGAAGCACACACACACATAAGGAGTCCTGGTGCAGGCCAGTGCCCACTACTTGAACTAGACTCCCCACTTAGCCTGGTCCTCTTCCTCCCCATCCCCCAAAACACACGTACTAGAGGCAGGCGTGTGCTCGTGTCAGCCCACTCCCACAGCTGGGCCCGCCATGCACGGCTGAGCTGGTTTGGGTGCTGCTCCCCACATGGCTGTCCTGTGGCCACCTCGGGCCTGTCACTCCTCGGAAGGCCCATGCAGAGGGTGCGGGCCACGTACCGGCTCTGCGGGAGCTGTCCTGCCGGTGGCCGAGAGGGGAGGGAAACTCTCCTGGATGGGAGCGAACAGCAGAAAAGTCAGCATTTCCCAAATCTCCTTAGGCCTCTGGCACCTAGCCTGGCCCAGCTCAAGTTTATTTGGTGACTGGATTTGGTCCTGTTTTTTCTTAAGCTTCAAGGGTGGATGCCACCCAGAGCGCTGGCCTAGACCCTGTCCATCACTTATTGGCTGCCTGGAGCTGCCCCTCAGAGCAGGGCTCAGGTGGGTTCCAGAGCAGCCTGGGTCACAGCAGTTGACCTGGGTCCTCTTCTCTAAAGGGGTGGTGATGAAGGGGCCCAGGGAGCGCTGCCCCACCCCGCTCCAGGCTCCACTGGGCAGCAGTCCCCACCTGCTGCCTCCCCCTCCCGGTACCTGCCCCTACTGCCACTGAGGGCCAGGCCAGGCCAGGCGGGACTTAAAGGTGGAGAGGAGAGCAGTCTGCAGTTTGTCACTTAGGTTCCCTTTGCTTTGTGGATTGGTCATAAGAGGAGGAATGCTGTGGCCCTCAGACCTCACTCTCCATTGTACTTAGAACTTCCTGTCTGTGATTTGGGCCTGGGGTGAAATCTCCATGCAGCTCTTGCAAAGTAGACTCTTCTGTCTACAAGCTACAGTGCATCTGCAGCCCCGGGGGCTCTAGCATTCTGGAGGCATTGAAATGTAGTTACTCAGCAACAGCTTCATGGTGTGTGCAGCTTGCACTCAGAAAGCCCTTGTGCTTGGCTTAATGATTCACTGTTGCTGTCTTTAAATTCTTAATAATTTTTAAAAAATATTTTATTTATTTATTTTTAGAGAGAGATGAAGAGGGGGAGAAATAGAGGGAGAGAAACATTAATGTGTGGTTGCCTCTTGCATGCCCCCTATTGGGGACTTGGCTGGAGGCAACCCAGGCATGTGCCCTGAGTGGGAATCGAACCAGTGACCCTTTGGTTTGCAGACTGGCACTCAATTCACTGAGCCACACCAGCCAGGGAAAATTCTTAATTATTTTTAAATAAGGAGCTGGGCATTTTTATTTTGCAATGGGCCCTGCCAGTTATATAAATTGTCCTATTTACTTTTTGTTGTCTTCCCTTTCATGTCTTTTGAATTTTGAACTATGGAGAGTTAAAAAAGTGTAATAACTAAATCCCACAAAGGATAAAAACAAAGAACACATGTATTATTTATTGTACATATTTGGAAACCGTCCCCAGGTCCACCGCAGTGCACAAGCTGCTGTGTGCACACCCGCACCCTGCCCGTCTGACCCACCGTCCCAGCGACCCCCAGCAGAGCTGAGTGACGTGCAGAACGCTGCCCATGAAGACACAGAGACAGGGCTGTGCTCCAGGCCACCCACTCCCCTGCCAGGCCCACGCTGCTGCCCAGGACAAGCCAGTTTTTACTCCGCATTTGGGAGGGGGAGAAGGGGTTACCCACTCCTTCCCTGATCATCCCCCTCCCCCTCTGCTACCTCTAGGTCTGTAGTCTGTATCTTTAGAGTCAGGTGACACCCATAAGCCATAGACTGACATCCCCAGCTCGCCTGGAGCTCAGGAAGGAGACTTCTGTGGCCAGGAGAAGGTCATCTTGTCCACTCCCCACACCAGAATGAGCTCTGTCTATGCTGTCTGTACCCAGAAGATGATGGCTTTAGAGTTTGTAGGGACAGAGAATCCATGAGTTCTCCAGGCCCCTCATTCTAGTATTTGTCACAGATGTGGATTTCTTGTTTGAATCACTGATGTTGCAGTTTTTGCTCATTTCTTACTAAGCTTAAGAAATTGGGATTCTCCCCCACACAGTTTGAAGAGCTAATCTACCCAGAGCCAGCTCTTGGAGGGTCCTTGGAGCGCCTGCGGTCCGCTTAGCCCGAACAAGAAGAGCACTGCTGCCCTCTGGTGGCCAGTTAGCAGAGGATCAAGGAGCCACCCGGGAGGGGGCGTTCCCCTCGGCTGTCTGCAGGGGCAGCCGCTTTGAGTGCTCAGGTAAGTGAATGTCCTTTCACTCTTCCTGGAACACAGTAAGCTTATCCTGGGCTTGGGGCCTGGCCCTTGCTACTCTCTCTCCCTGGAATGTTCTTCCAGATCTGAGGTGGCAGCCCGTTGCTCATTCTCTAGCCCTCAGGCCAAATGTTACCTGCAGCAGCCAACCCCAGCCCCTGCCCTCCCTGTCTTGTTTCACTTTGTTCAGGCACTTTCTTGCTATTTGAAAATATTCGTGTAAATTCTGTGTCTGTTCTTCTCTCCCTAAACATAATGCAGGGGCTAGGGAAACAGGGTCCTTGTCTGTTTCGTTTGTCACTGGACCTCAGTACTTCATATGTAGTAGTACTCGGAAATACTTGTTGAAGGAATAAATAAATGCATGTCAACAAAAATAACTGAGATTTATGCAGAGTTTCTGGTCTTCAAATCACACTCTGGTGTGGGCAGGGCATATGCCACCCCGTTTGTTAGATTTATGGGCGTGGCCTGAGCGAGGAGGACCTAGCCAGGCCCTGGTGGCTTTTCCTGGACTCCCGAGTCCTTGCTCTGGAGGGCAGAAGGCTGTTCCGGGGCCGGACCCTCACTTCCTGGCCCCGATTACCGAGGGAGGCTGGGCTGTGCCCTAGTCCAGAGCTGTGCTGAGGCTCTGCGGGTGCGCGGTGGCATGGGCCAGGAAGGCCAGTGCACAGTGTTGCAGAGGCAGTGGCCTGTCTGTCTGCAGAGATGAGTGTTCCAGAGCAGGAGTGTGCTTGGGGAGGGAGGGTGGCAGGAGAGCTGCCAGTGAAGGAATTGTGCGTGCTCCAGGCCAGAATTCAACTGTAACATTCTGAGTTCATCAGGACCCCTGAGGACGCAGCCCCTGGCTCACTGCACTCAGCCCCAGGGAGGGGCTGCCCTCTGATTCTGAGCCCAGCAGGGACACGAGGGGATCAGGGCTCTGCCATGGGGCCTGGGCTGCCTGGCCAAGCCTGGGCAGGTGGTGGGGCTGGTGGGAGCCCAGGAGGAGCAGGCCCAGGCAGGCTGTGTCTCTGGCTGCGCTGAGAGGGAGTCTGGAAGGTTAGCAGCATCTGCTCCTGGACTGGTCTTCTGGTGAGAGCTTGATGGAGTCTGTGAGGTAATTCTCCAGGATGTTCCGATACTGGGGAAGGGAAAGAGAAGTCAGCACCCACACCTGAGAGGCAAGGAGCACCACCTGCCCTCTGTCTCTTAAGGCTGAGGGTGCTTGGGCGTTTGTAGCCTCCCCATTGTGCTGCTGGGTAACAGGCCCAGAGCGGGAAGACACTGATCTCCTCACCTTTTTCCTTCCTTCCCTCCTCCAGTATCTTCCAGGCACACAGAGTAGTTGGGTGGCTGGGTCAGGGACCCAGGTCTCCTGACCCCTAACCAGGTCCCATAACTTTCCATTCTCCAGAGGGGATAACTGAGGTGACGTTTGACCTCAACAGAGATGGGACCTCTCCCCACAAACATCCCGACACCTCAACCTTCTCTCACCGTGCCCACCTCTCGATGTGCCCACCCTCCTGTCCCTCCTGTTCTTGCCGTGTCCAGAGAGGCCTCCCTAAGCAGGCTCAATGTTTCTACTGGGCCTTTTGCCTGTCTGCCCACCCTCCCCAACTCTCCCTCCCAACAGGTCCAGAGGAAGCCCCTTCTAAGTCTGATGAGCTTCTCCCCACGCAGCTGACCACTTTTCACCTAGGATGCCCCCACCTGGCTCAGGAGCAAGGGTGGGGCGTGGGGAGGGCTTCCTCGGGGAGGTGGGTCTACGTGCCAAAGGGTCTCCTCTTAAACAGGTACCATCCCTTCACTCTGCCACCGCCCTTGTGGCCACTGAGCTCGCTGAGTTCATGCTCCTCCCACAGCTGGTGTGTGCGTGAGAGTGTGAGCACACAAGCACTCTGTGTGTTCGTGTGGACCGAGAAGGGCAGGGCCTCCTGGGTGGGAGGCAATGCAGGGCTGCGGGTCTGTCTCCAGGGCCCCTCTCCGAGGGAACAACTCCCAGGGCTCGGATTTTCTTCGTTTCCACGGCTCCCAGGCTCTGGCTGGGCCCCCCCGCTGGCGAGTGTTGACCGAGGCCTAAAGCCCAGGCCTCCGGCTCCAGGAGGTGGTGTGGGGTCCACCTACTGTACCCGACGGTGGTGACCCCACGGCACACGAGAAGGACCCTGATGCCCGGGCACTGGCTGCCATCCTCAGACTGAGCCGTGGTCTGGCCTGGTAGCACAAAGCTGTGGCACCGGCCCGGGAGCCGGCCCTGCTTCACACAGTTTGTTCATGGAGAGCCCCTGCGGCTCACCTCCCTGAGAGTGCCTCGGGGACAGCCACCCTCAGCCAGCTCAGATGATGGGCCTGAGGATCCCTCCACAAACTCTTTTGTGTTATTAGAATTTTATTTGTAATGTGTTATACATATGGAATATATAAATGTAAATATGTATATTAACAGGCAGGATTAGTATTGGGAATGGGGAAGTCTCCCTAAAGCCTGTCCCTCTGGGATGCCCCCACATCTCAGACCAACCATCAGCCTCCCCGTCCCTGGAAGAGTCCCAGCCCCTCCGTGCGGACCCCACTGGGGTGCCCCGCGCAGCCCCAGCTCTCACGCTGCGGGAGCACAGTCCTGCCTTGAGATGTGTGAGGAGAGAGAACAGGCCGGGGTCTCCTTCTCCCCAGCACCACTTGGGCCTGGGCTGGGGGCTCTGGCCCACACAGCCCCAGGCATTGCCCAGTCTTCCAAGTGCTGCTCTGCTGTGGGCAGGACCCGCTCACTCCACTGAGCTAACTGTCCTTGAAATCCTGACCTTTCTGGACCTGCAGCGAGGGGCAGGGAGGAGCAAAATGTTACTCTGTAGGTCCCTTTGTACCTTGGGTGATCCATTGCTCTTAGCAAGACAGGCTTTGAACAGAGGCTCTTATTGTGGCACCTTCCTGGTCCCTCTGTCACCAGGAAAGCTGAGGAGACCTTGGCTGGGATCGGGGATTTTTAAAATCGGGACTTTTGGACCCACCTGCAGGGCCTGCTGTGACCCACCCTCACATCCACGCAAGGCCCAGCCGGGACCCCAGTGCCCCCCATGCGGCCGCTGCCCGTGCCGCCAGCCCTGGGGACGGAGACCGGGAGAGCCCCGAGAGGCTGTGGCTGTCTGAGCTGTCTGAGCTCCGTGGCCCTTTATTCTGGAACAAACGAATGCCACCGCCGCCTCGGGAAGGTGTGAGACGCTCCCTCACGCACCACCCTGGCAAAGCCGGACGTTCCGCTCTGCTCTTCTCACCCAGTAACAGCCACACACTCCCAGGCGCAAGTCCCCCTGAGCGCTTCCCGTTGATGACGTCATCTCAGCGATGAAGGCGTGGTCCCGCTCCTCGGACTTCCTGTAGAGCTCCCAGGTAACCGGCCTGCGGTGATTAGGTTTTCTGTGTGATTTCTCCAGCCCTGATCGTCTTGGCAAGCATGTGCATCTCGCCGCAAGGTCAGGAGTAGTGTCCAAATGCAGGTGCCACTTCAGGGGCTGTGGGTGTGGGCGTCTGTCCCTCTGAGCCCAGTCGCCTCCATGGACCCGCCTTCAGACCCTGTGTCCTGAGGATCTCGTGGAGGCCCTGCAGGTGCAGGGAGCGCACTGCCTCCCCTCCCCCCCCCACCCCCAAGCACAGCAGTTTAGTCTTTCTCCAGTGGGACGGAGGGATCCGGGCTTTCCCGCTGCAGCTCACGCAAGCCCCTGGAGCCAGGCCCGCCCTGCCCAGCGGGGATGGTGTTGCCAGCTTGGTGGAAGCAAAACCCGTCATTCCACACCCCCAAAGCAGGGGGGTGTCCCTTCTTTGATTATGAGGGTATTCTGAATCACATTTCGGAGTAAATACCCTAATCCTTGATAGTGGCCAGCATGTGACAGTGAAGTAACTTCCTACCTTCTTTTCCAAAGGTTAACCGAGTACCTGTTCTGAAGGTGCTCTACTTTCAAACCGCTCTTTCCGTCCAGGGCTCACTGCAGGACTAGACACTTCGAGGGACCTCAAGGACCCTGGAATGCCCCGTGCTCCACTGGATGGAATTGCCCCTGCCCTCATGATGCTCCTGCTTTCCCCGTCTCCTCCGTCTCGGTCCAGAGCATCCCCAATCAATTGTCCCCACGCTTGCCAACCCACACAGCTCCTGACTCCTCTCCTGCATTCTCCCACCACCAAGCCCTGACATGACCACCTGTCCTCGCTGTGTCCATCCTCTCGGGCCTGGATGGTCTCAGTGCCTCCTCAACTGCCCACAGAGCCCGCCCCTCTGCAGCACGAAGAGCCCCTGCTGAAAACCCTTGTATATAGCTCTTGTTTACAAATAGCTACTTTTTATTTAATGCCTTCTCTCTGCTGCGGAAGTATTTCATTTAGCCCCTGCCACCTCCCCACAGGGAAGACGTTGTTATTTGTACTTTGACGGGAGGAAAGCGGTGCCCTGGGGAAGCTGCATGCCTTGCTCAGGGTCACAGGGAGGGAGAGGCAGAGCCAGGATTTAAAGCCAAGTCTGCCCTGCTGCAGAGCCCAGCTCCTGCGCCCCAGGCAGGGGCTCTCCCCCTCCTCCAGCAGCACCTCCCACACCTCCCTCTGAAAACACTCCCCCGGTATGAGTGCACACACAGCCTCCCTGGGAAGGAGCAGGATGGTCCTCGGAGGAAACGTCTTTGAAAACGCTTGTCTGACCTTGAAACAGAGATTTGCAAACTCCAGCTTCACCTCGCACATCCAGTGAGTTTTACGTGCTCTGCCCCAGTAGGTATGTTTGTTCAAATGTGAAGATGAGCCTCCTCCACATCTCTGAGTCATGCAGGCATTGTACAAAGACTGCCCTGTTGGGCCTTGAGGCCTGGGTGAGCCCCCCACTCCCCCCGCACCGCTGCCCCTGTGCACTGGGCCCTGCCAGCACTCGGGGAAGCACGGCCCTCCGCCTCTGGCTTTGGAAGAGCACAGAGCACAAATCTCTGTTGGGGTCACTAGGCCTTTGGGATCTGGTGCCGTTGACCTTGTGGACTTCATTACTCACCATGATCTCATACCCCACTTCCTTCCACACCGCGTTTCTTTCTCTTACAGGAGGAACCCACAGTGGGCTCCTGCCTAGGCCCCTGGACACGCCCTTCTCCCCCCTTCTGCCACTCCTGCTCGCACCTGCACTGGCCCACCACGTCTGCCCGCAACCTGTGAATCGCCTTTCAACAGCCAGCTCACACGCCACTCCTCTGGCAGGCACCCTCTCCCACCCTCGCCACCAGCGAGAATTTCCTCAATTCAAAGTCATTGCTGCAATGACCTTCTCCCCTTTTCTAAGAAGCCCACCTTGATTAAATGCAGCAGAATAATGAAACAAGCTGAGCCCTTCCCCATGCTAGTCTCTCATGGGCCCTCCTCCCCGTTTCCAATGTCCACATCAGAATGGCATTAGAACCTCGCTGCTGCTTCCAGGCCGCCTTCCCTGATCTTCCTCTGCGATTCCCTACCCCCCACCCACAGTGCGGACTGCGTGCCTTTCCTCTGGCGTCCTGCCACCGCCCGCCGAGTCCTTCCCTGCCTTGCAGCACCTGTTCTGAAACCACTCACGTGCCTGCCTGTCTCCCCATGAGGGCGAGGGGCCCCGGTCCCCGCGCGGTGCTCCGCACACGCGATGCCCTGACACGTGCTTGTTGACGATCGCACCTGGGTCTATGTCCATCCGTCTTTTGATGGGAACACGCCAGCAGCCCCTGCAGGCTTGACATGCTGCTGAACAAACACCTGGCACCCGGGGCTTCCCTCCCGCCGAGGAGGATCGAACTAGGCTCCTCTCAGGCCCTTACCAGCCAGAATCTCCAAGGGTGGGCTACAGAACACTATTACTATTACTATTATTATTATCATCATTTTTAGAAACTGCACAAATGATTTTGACGTCAGCGAGGTGGAGGGACTGCTGACTGTGCACTTTCAAGTCACTTTGTCCCTCTGGCCCCTGTGCCCAGAGCTGGAGTCCCGCTGAGCCCTGCAGCGACTTATGGATTGAGACCCCGAGCAGGCCCCTGCCGCCCCCATGCCCGTCTGTGCCCAGTGCTCCTTTCTGCCAGCTCCCGAGACCCCCTCCCCCCACCCCCCCCGGCCCCCGGGGCAGCCTGCCTTGCGCTGCTCCACAGCCACTCACCCTCGACAGAGCTCGGCCGGCCAGCATCTCAAAGGCTTGCACCACGTTGATGTCATTCTTGGCACTGACTTCAAAGTAGGGAATGTTCTTCTCTTTACACCAGCCCTGGGCCACCTCCTGTGGCACCTGAGTGAAAGGGGGAAAAGACCACTGTCCCTGCGTCGTCATCCCCACCATCCCCACCGTCAGCAGTCCCCACCGTCAGCAGTCCCCACCGTCTCCACCGCCACTCCCATTTCTTGGGAACCGCCCACGTGTCCGTAACTTTACACATGTTATTCCTCAACATAAGTTTACGAGGCGGCTGTTGTTACTTCATTTTCCAGATGAGGAAACTGAGGAGAACAGAAGACTTTGCTCAGAGTGTGTGGCGCTGAGCAGGATTCGAACACCAGCTTGGCTGAACTAGAGTCCATGCACTGTGCTGCCTGCACTGGGGTGTTCTCCCTGCTATTGGCTCCTTCTGCAGCCCCTTCCAAAGGAGACGGGCTTGACAGACACTAGCCAGCTCCCCCTGAGCTGGCTGAGCAGGCCCATGCCCAGGAGGCCTGTTGCTGGGCAGGGACTCAGGTCCCTGCTAACCCTGTATGCCCAGGATAGAGTCCTAGGAACAGTTGATAAGCTCCTACTGTGGGCCAGGCACTCTGTTAGCTGTCTTGTCATATTCATTTATACAACCCTCAGTAACCCAGCGAGATGGGTCTTATTAGCTCCACTTTATAGATAAGAACACTGAGGCTCAGAGAGGTGCAGTGACTTGCTTCAGACCACACAGCTGAGAAGGGCAGAATCTGCATGGAGCCCAAACTCGTGCTCCCACGGCAGCTAAGCTGCCCTGTGCAGGACACTGCACGAGAACTGGGCTGCTTTTCTGCCTCCCCCACTGGGCTGCAGGCCCCTTGAGTTTAGGGTCGGGGTCTCTTTAGCTCTCAGCCTGGCGCCACAAGCCACGCAGTGCAGGCTGAATGAGCACGTCACTACCCACGTGCAAATGGCTGATCACAGTTAGGGGATGTTAGACTGCAAAATGTTCCGGCAGCACTGCAGGTTACTTCCAAAGACAACTGCTAACACGGAGTTTAATGGCTAATTACTTCAGAGACCAGAAAAATGACCATACATTGAACATCTGTACCTGGGACTTTATAACCATTTCATTTTATTGAAGGGAGCCAAGGTTTTTCTCATGGAGAAGAGACCATTCCGCCCAACTCCCAGGACATAGCGCAGACGCTACCCCTCCTTGACTTGTCTCCCTGCTCCTACAGGCTCTGGGAATGTATCTTATTGAGATGAAAGGCACTGTTACTGTCCCTTATCTCTTTGGTCTTTGCTTTCCTGGTTGCAGGAGTGGCCCAGGGCTCATGGCATTGCCCTGGCATTATGAAGCTTACCACCCAGTGCTGGCGGGCAGAGACCGGGGGCGGCTAAGCAGCCAGCCTGTCCTTTGGGGACCCCAACGACACCTCCACCTCCCATACCCAGGCCAGGTGCAGTCACTCTCCCAGTTGCTGCTGAGTCTGAGCAAAGCAGGGAGAAACCCCAGGCCCTGGTCTTGGCCTCTGATCTCTAAGATCTTCCTGCCTTTGGGGATAGGGTTCCCAGAATCTTGGCCATCAGTATTCCCTTTCGAGGAGCACAGACACTGAAGACCTGGTGAGTCACCGAGAAGCCCCACAGCTTGGGGAAAATCCTGAACTATGTGTGAGAGAAGAATCAAGGCTGGCCGGGCTATTGATCACTATCATCCTCACTAGTAACATGCAAATAAATGCTCATTGGAAATTAACATGTTATACCTGGATGCCATTTTAGAAACACAAAGGGCTTTGTATCTTTTTAAAAAATAATGTTTCAATTACAGTGGACATACAATATTATAGGCTTTGTATCTTTTAAAGTCCTTGAGGGCAAGCACTGGACTTAGGCTTCTGACTGCTCCTTCCTTCTTTAAATCCCACCCACCTGCCGAGCCCCCACCCCCACCAGGTGACGAAGGCTTTCCTGGGCACATCAGTGGCGCCCAGGAGCTGCAGTAGAAATTGACCTGCAGTGCAGTGAAGTCAAGTGCCTCTTCTCCAGTAGGCAGGGAGATTCTTCAGGTTCAATGGTGCAAGAGGCAGAAGCCAGGATTGGTGCCCAAGGCCAGCCAGCAACAGAGCTAGGAAGACAAGTTTGCAACTATAGCTGGCTGATCTCAGCTGTCCCTGCTCTCCTGCTGGACAGTGACTGGGTTATGGCAGATATTTTATTTCCTTGTCTTTATTCTTTCTCTGTTCTGTTTACATGCAATGATTAAATACACAACTACAAAATACCATGTTGGAGATGATGTTGCCAATTAACATACTTTTTTATTCCTATCACCTCTCTTACTGACCCTCAGAAAGCTGGCCTGGGAAGGAAACAGCCCAGACAGTGATTTTCATGTCCCTCTTCCATTTCCAGTTTTAAAATCATCCTTTCTTTTATTTATAAAATTACAGGTATTTATAACTTGGGCTCTAACTGTGGAAATAAGCTCAGGGTGCGATATTTGGGGACATGGTAAGTATGAAAATTTTGCAAGTGTTACTTCTATTAATTTTGGTTTTGGCTGACAATATCCTACCAACATTTTACTTCTCCTGTGAAGCAAATCACCAAGCAGAACATTTGGTGGTTCAGCAAAGTTTTGATAAGATTAGTCCAGTTTATATAATTTAATTTATGATGCTTTTCCATCTCATACACACTTCAAGTTATTAATCAGATGCATTAAAATTAATGTGTCAAATGCATTTTAAACCACTACAAGAAACAAAGAATATTTCCAGAAAGCATAGTCCCAACCTTATGACTCAGTGGGAAGTCAGCATTGCCTCCCTGAGCTTAGAGCCGAGAACCCACATGCTAGGAAGAGAGTTGTCTGCAGCACAGAGGCTGGCAGAGCTGTTCTTTTAAACAGACGGATGTTTTTCACTCTATGACCTTCTGCAGGGAGAGTGGGGATTTTAAAAAACGTAGGTCAATAATGTCTTTAAAACCATTCTGGCAATACACATTTTTATTGTGGTAAAATATACCCACACATAGACGTACCATTTTAGCTGTGTGTAAGTGCACAGTCGAAGGCCTTAAGTGTGCAGTCACACTGTGGTGCGACCCCCACCCCATCCATCTCCAGAACCTTCTCTTCATCGCAACGCTTAGCAATAGAGTTTTCCATGCTTATTTTCTTCTTATTGAGTAGAAGAAGTTCCCGTGTTTCCCCAGCCTGTGCCTTGACGGTAACAAGGAGGATGACAATCGCTCCCGTGTGTGAATCTCGCCACATGCTTTACCAGCGTCGTTTCCTTACTTGTCACACAATTTCACGGAATCTGTGTGTGGCCTCCGTCGCCCAGATGAAGAGGCTGGAACTGGCTAAGGGCACATGTCCCGGAGACGGGATCAGGCTTGCCTGGGGCTGTGCTGCTTCTTTCTAGCCTTTACCTCCCTCTCTCTGCAGAAAAAGGCCTGTGCCTCCACCCAAGCTTGGACTGGACCCCTCCACCCCTTCGAGGCGTCACCCCTGCTTCCCCTCCTGCTGACACTCCTCGTTTGACGAACTCTTGCAGCCTGGCGAGGCTTCTGCTCCACCTCTCCTTGTAGCCTCCACCCCTTCAACAGACATCGCTGCTGTGCTTCAGCCTCTTCTTTCCAGGGGCAGACCCAGGCCCTCTGCGAAAAATGCTAAATACAGTCTCCTATTCCGTGACTGCAGTCTCCTTTCCCTTCCACCCCGTCGCCCCCTCGTTCTTTCTGCCCTGCTCCTCCACCTCTGCCGGCCCAGTGCTCCACCCTTCGACCCTCTTCTTGTTGCCCTTCTTTCCTTCATGGTTCCTCAGTGCCCTGACAGCCCTGTCTTCAGCTACACCTGCCTGGAGAAGTCTTAGTCCCAGGTTCCTCGTTCCTGGCTGTAACCCCACACTGGGCTGCTGAAGGAAAACGCAGCAAAGACTCCCCCTCAGACTCCTGGTGTCCTCCTTCAGCTAAGCCCTGAGTGTCACCTGTTAGTTCTTGTCTTTGTCCTCGATTTGCTTCTCCACCCCTTCCTCTCCAGAGCCACTGGCAAAGCTTCACCATTGTTCCTGAGACTCCTGCTTAGTTCCTGCTCAAGAAGCTGGTGCCTCTTATTTCACTGAGAAAAGGTCAGACTCGGCCTTGAACTCCCTCAGCTTCCCACCCTACGATCTCCAGGGGAACGAAGCAGGATGTTAAAATGGAAGTTCCGGCCAGAGGCAGAATAATCTGATGGATGTCAGATATAAGGTGGGCTGGGAGACAGACTGTCCCTGGACCTTGTATATTTCCACAAGTTCATGACCAGGAATCTGTTGGATGACTCCCAAACCCACAGCATGGACATTAAAAGATCAACAAGAAGGATTAGAATGGATTACTTTGGAGAGAGTTGTATGCAGGCGCACTCCCCGCAAGAGGGAGAACACGGGAAGCCTCATCTCCACCCAGAAAAGGGCTTCCAGGAGGCCACTTGGACAGCTTGACGTGCAACCCCTGGAGTTCGGTAGCTGCAGTGGACCTGCATCTGACCTGCACCTGAGGGATGTGATGCAATGGGCACATCGCGTCATTTCTCATTCGTAGCCGGCGATGAAAAGAGCTCTGCTTGATGCCACTGTGCAAAACACCCACACACAGCGGGATCACCACAGCCATGGGACGGATAAGCCACCCAGTGGTTAGTCAGAGGATCCAGAACATGCTTTAGCTCATAAAAAAATATATGTGTGCTGCTTTCTTGGAAAGTTTGTAGACTCAAGTATTTATAACTACAGACCCATTACCTGACCCTGGCTAGAAATACTGTCCTGCCGGTCAGTTCAAATTCTACCTGCCTACCTCTGATGCCCTAGTTCTTCTGCTCCCTGCCTCCAGACAAAATTACCTTTAGTTCTCAGCTTGTATCAGGCTGTTTCCTTCCCTTGCTCGTGCTGTTTCATTAGCCTGGATGCCGCCCACTCTAGGAAGCCCTTTCTAGATTCTGGGTGTCAGCGGATGTACTTTCACTGTGGTCTCCGACTTTCCAAGGTCTACTTCTATCATGGCAATATCATCCCAATATTTACAATATTGTGTCACAATTGCCTTTTAAAGTGTCCCTATCCATTACTAGACTGAGAAATGTTTAGGGTAAGGACTGTGTATGGTGCAGCTCTGAATGTGTGGGGCCTAACACAGTGTCTGGCATAGCTGATGCTCACAGAATGATTGGCGAATGAATGAATGAATAAATGAATGAAATGTACCTGCCGGTCTTCCAGATCAATCTTGTTCCCCAGCACCACCATGGGATAGGACTGCTCCACCGGAATGATTTTGGCCAGAACATCACCCCGCCAGGTATCCAGAGCTTCAAAGGACTCCAGATCAGTGACATCAAAAGCCAGGATGCAGCCATCGGAGCCTTTGTAGAACGTGGACACCATGGAGCGGAAGCGCTCCTGTCCGCCTGTGTCCCAGATCTGGAGGGGAAAAGAAGCCGTCCCGCGGGGCTGTGATGAGTGGCTAGAGGTCTGGCCTAACTGGATCACATCATGTCAAAGCTTCCTTTTCTGGGTGGGGCGCAGATGGGCAGACAACCCTGGCACAGGTGCGTGTGGTCTTTTCACACACAGGTATCTGGGCCCTGTCACCCGCGTGCATCTTGGCACTCACATTTAGCATCCAAGAGTACTTCAGCCACTGAGCTTTTGTCTTCCTCTGGGCCGTCAGGCCGGGCACTGTTGTTTCCGTCTGATGGATGTGGGCCTTGGGAGGGATTTGCCAAGGCCACTCTGCAAGTTTTCCAGGACCTGAGACTAGGAGTAAGACTTCCCAACTCCTGGATTTAGAGCTCATTCTTCTAGATTAAGAATCAGCAATTTTTTTTTTGTAAAGGTCCAGGTAATACATATTTTAGGCTTTGCAGACCATACTGTCTGTTGCAACTACTTCCAAAGTACCCATAGACCATAAATGGGCATGACTGTGTGCCAATAAAACTTTATTTACAAAAACAGGTGGTGGACCTGATTCGGTCCGTGAGCTGAAGTCTGCTGATATGTGTTCTAAATCATTCCAGCTCCTAATACACATTGCTGTGTGAATGGCCGTCCTAAGAAGGTGGGGTGTTTTCAGGTATGCATGTTGAGGAGAGAAAGGGAAAGCCGCTCACCTGTAGCTTCAGAGTTGTGTCATCCAACATGATAATCTTGGAGAGGATACTGGCCCCCAGCGTGGTCTGGTAGTCCTCATAAAACGTCTTATGCACATAGCGGTGGAGGAGGGAGGTCTTTCCTACACTAAGGAAAAAAGCCAGACACATGTAAACAAACACATACTGAACACGTATGCACATCCATACCATTATTAGAATCTTACCACGCCCCTCTGACTACTGTCTCTCCCTGAGATTGTGATCTAACATTTGTGGTCCAGGAATCACACTTTGAGTAGCGAGAGACTAGAATGGTTCCTAGAAGTAGGGACCAAAGTGAGCAGAGAGGTTTGAAGAGAGCTAGGTTCCCCAGAGCAATGGTCAGGCTTTCCCTGCATGTGGCAGCAGGTGGGAAGGCAGAGAGATGCTGAGGGGCTTGTTATTACAGAGCTTGGACCAGAAGCCAGCTGGCCGGCCCCCCCACCTCTTTTTCCTACTGAGCTCCCTCCCTTGGGTGAGATGCTCTCCCTAGAGCCACCTTGAACCAGAAAAGGACCCAATGGGAGGTGGAAACACATCCAGAAGGTCTCACTACCCTTGGCTAGGAACCTGCTCGCCAACCCCCAGACTCCAAGCTGAGCTTGACTTACCCCAGGGCTCCGATGATGATGAGCTTCAAATCCACCTTCTTCCGGGGATTCATGGAGGGGCTTCAAAACCTGTAGGGAAACAAAAGTCATCCACATGCTGGCCAGAGAGCCCCCTGTGGCTGTTGTCACTGAAGCTGGCCTCTACGTTCTCCTCCTATGTGTGCGGGTCACCACTCTAGGCAGAGGACTTGGGTGAGTTTGACTCATGGATGACTCAGCCACCCTTACACACCCTCCACCTCACTTCCTCTGGGGCTTCCCTAGTGCTGGAAGGGTGGTGACCCCACCAGACAGGTGCATCTCCCACCTTTCTACCAGCCCTGATCTTGGAGGCAGCCTGGAGTGCCAGGAAGGCTGGAGAGCACTGAACAGAGGCCTCGCAGACAGTCAAGCCTGGAGCCAGGGATGGAGGGCAGAGCGGGAAGAGCAGATGGAGGCAGGACAAGGGGTCCATTGTCAGGACTACCCAAGAGGCTTTGGATGGAAGCGTGCCCTTCCCCCGCCCGAGGTGTTGCTGTGATTGCAGAATCAAAGGCTCTTCTCTGAGGCAGCTGGTGGGGCTGTAATTGGTACATGTTTCTGGAAAGCTAATTGGCAGCAAGTAGTGAGAGTCTTAAACACGTTCCTGCCCTCCACTTACTAGGAATTTGTCTTAAGAAAATAATCCGAAATGCGGGTAAAGACTCTTGTTCAAGAATGTTCTTCAGGATTATTTACAAACAGCCAACACTAAAGAAGTGGTTAGCTGAGGCATGACACACAGTGACTGCGAAGCAGTCATTAAAATGCAGTTTCTGAGTGTATTTTAATAATGTGGGAAAGTGCTGCCACAGGAGCTAAATGAGAAACAGAAGGCAAGAAACTGCATATACAATACCACCCCAAACAGTAAAATGAGTTCCTACTTGGATAGCAAAACTTCTGGAAAAAATATTTTAAAAATTTAAATGTTTAATTTTGAATGGTGGGGAATTTATGATTTTAATTTTGTTCTCTATGCTTTTTAGTATGCTTCAGTTTTTTTTTACAGTAAACATGTCAACCATGCATTGTTCCTACAAGAGAAAAATAGACATTGTGCACATGTGTGCATAATTTATACATATAACTTATACATATATATTTATTCATTTTATTTTATTAACAAGATAAAGCCGAACTTTGCAGGGGACTGTGTTTGCCCGGCTCTTTGGGTCCCCCCTTCCATGCACGAATACATGCACGGTGTTCCCAGCTCCTGGGTCTTCCGTCCTTGGAGGCCCTGGGCGTCCTGAGGAAGCCTTAATCTGACTCTGCCCGACTCAAGCATCAAAAGTTGGCCAGTTTGGGTCTCCCCTGGTACTCGGAAATAACTCTAGACTGGCTATCGTAAGGCCCTGGAGGCTCCAGTTCTCCCTTGGCCACTGTGTGACCTTGGGCCAGTGACTTCCCCTCTCTGAGTCTTGGCTTTCCAACTAGAGAATGAGCCAGTGGGCCCCAAAGACTCAAGGTCTCTTCTGGTTGAAAAATGCTTTTTATCTGTTGGAGCTGTTACTCACTGGGCTACAAGAGTCTTGCCTGGGCGTGCCTGGTTAGTGCAGAGTCAAAATAGAAAACTCAAAAAGGCCCGGGACTGTTGGTGTCCCTCCATGAGCCATGCCATGGCTCAAAGGTAATTTGAGGTTCTGCCTAGAGCTGCTCGACCCAGCAGCCAGGGTCGGTGGCACTGGGCCTTCTACCTAGAGGGGTGGGTTAGCATGGTGGGCAACAGGTCTCCTCAGTGGTTCGAGCATTCGTTCAACAAGTGCCCGCATGCCTACTGTACGCAAAGCCCTGCACTAGGCACTGGAGGAGCACAGAGCAAGTAGGAATGCTCACCCTCCTGCCCGGGAGTCATCCGGGGAGAAAGGACAGGGGCTGAGTCATTACAGCAGAGAGAGAGTCAAGTGCCCCAACCGAGGCACAGAGAGAGTGCTGTGGGAGTTCAGGGAGGACAGAAGGCGGCAATTGAACTGGGCCCTGAAGAAATGAAACATGTGCTTGGGGACTGACATTCAGAGGGAGACAATGACCCTCCGAAAGGGAGTGACCTGGGAACAGCTGAGGGGAGAAAGTGGACGGTCTGCTTTGGGGATGGGTGAGGGGAAAATGTGGAGAGAGGGAAGCCTGGAGAGGGAGCAAGATTAAGAACAGACATGAATATCAGACCAAGGATCCTGTCCTTCCTTCCTTCCTTCCTTCCTTCCTTCCTTCCTTCCTTCTTTCCTTCCTTCCTTCCTTCCTTCCACATTTCCTATGCTCCTCCTTCCTGTAAGGAAGAGAACTCAGGGTATTAACTGGGGCTGGCATTTCAGGATGAGTGTCGCTGCCTACAGCGAAACCAGCCAAGGGAGAAGTGACTCAGAGCCCCTGCAAGGCACGGGCCTCTCAGCATCAGTTACTACTCTGGAAGGGGAGGAGCTATGTGGGTTCCCTCCTAAAAGCTCAGGTACAACGTGCTTAGCTCCAAAGCCAATACCGTGACTTGGAAAGGGAGCCTGAACAAAAGGGAGGCAGGGCAGGGGGAAGTGGGAAAGAAACCTGTAGGGGCTGCAGTGCTTCTTCTGTAGAACTTAGGGAATCCCTCCCAAAGCCCTAAGCAATGCTTACAACGGAGGCTCAGAGAAGCTAAGACCCTAGTTACTCATCCAGGGTCGCACAGCAGATGGACAGGCTGCGCCAGGTTGGCTCCCCTCCTCTTGAGCTCGAACTCATAGAGTCCGTGTGCACAGGATGCAGGGCGCTGGGCTCAGGTTTGGTGAGTCTAACCAAACGCTAGTAGAGCTGGAGGAGATGGAGAGAAGGGCAGCCGAAGTGCCAGAGCTGCAGCGCGGATGGGAGGGAACAGGCGCCGCGGGGCTGGGCGGGCGGTGTGAGGACTGATGCTGTGACGGGGCCAGGCCGCCGGGAGACGCGGCTCCCGCGAGAAGCTAACATTTGTTTCCTGGAACCATGAGGGGATTTTGTGAATATGCAGATAAACAATATGTATACTATTTTGAGGTTAAATGAATTAATGCATTATTATACTACATTTATACCATGTGATATATTATTATAATACATTTAGTGGTACCAGTTCAGGGCTCAACAAATGGTAGCTGTTTTGTGACTATTAGCACGTAAAAAATAGCTTGTGGGATTGACACTCTTATTGGCCTCCCTCTTTTACTGCTGAAGAAACAGATGTTAAGGAAAGTTAGGTTGCTCATCTGTGAAGGCACAGCCCATACACGGCAGAGCTTGGATTCAGAACTGGGATGAACCCAGGTCTAACTGCAGAGACCACTCTCTAGCTGCGAGGTTGACTGCCTGCTGCGAACCCAGCCCCAGCCTGAGGAAGGATCGATCACTCGATCACTCGCCTGGCCCTGGGGGCCTGTCAGGGGGAGCTGGGGGCTGGGGGCGTGGCTTGACTCGGTGCCTCGGAGCTGGTGTGCCTCTGGAGGGAAAACGTGGTACCACAGAGGATCAGTCTCCGCATGTGCAAAGCAGTCTACAGATAGTCAAAGACAAAACACAACACAAAAGTGGGCAAAGAATTTGAACCAAACCTGCAGAAGTCTTATAAATGATTAGTAGTAAGCTTTGGAAAGGTAACTCAACCTTACCAATTTTTAAGAACATGCAAATTTAAAAATATCACTCTTTTTCATCCACCAGATTGGCAAAAAAGTTAAAAGATCAGTAATAATGTTTAGAGTTGGCAAGTGTATAGGGGTAACGCTCTTGTGTATTGTTGATAGAGTGTGAATTGTCACAGTCCTCCCTGGAGGGCAATTTGACAATGTCAAAACTCAGTATGTGCACACTTAGCTTCTAATCCTAGGAATTTATCCCACAGAAACACATGCGTACTCACACACATACTTGTGCAAAGATGATTGCTGAACAGCACTGCTGTAACCTAAATGTCCACCAAGAAGGCACCCTTAACATAAATTATAATCCATTCATACTCTCAGTGAGATGAAGTAATGAAACAGGAAGATATGATGATGATTAAGTAAAAAAAGAACATTTTGTGTAGTATGATCCCAGTAACATAAAAATGAACAACACCCTTATATGTGTGACTATATGTTTAATATTATATTTATGCTTGCCCTGTAAATGCACGGGAAGCTAAGGATAGATACACACTAAATGATTACTAGGAGGTGGAGAAGGGTGGATTAAAGCCTATGTCTTATATTAAAATTAGTTACACAAGCCTAAGTTGTTGTAATTGAAAATATCAAAAAAAGGGACAGTATTTCTTTAAAAAGAGCAATGGATGGATGGAAATCCAAAGTCACCTAGGGGTGACTTCCTGACAGGACCAATCACTCGGGGCCTGGGCGGGGGAGGAGGCTGCCTGGTCCCACGGAGTGATCATGGGTTTTCGAGTCAGAGTGCTCACTCCATGGCTATACATCTGCGACTGTGGCTTACTTAACCCGGTGATTCTGTTCCCTCGTGGGTAGATGGAATCACTCCTGCCTGTGGCTTATTCTGCAGGGTTGCATGTGTCATGCTCTTGGAGCAGAACTGGCCCCCCAAATTGGGGATGACCCTGATAAATGGTTAACAACTGGGGGGTGAGGGGGAGACAGATCGCAGTGCCTGCCACTTTCTGTGGTGTAAATATTCCCTCCATGGCTGTGTCACACTCCCAGTGGAGACTGCTGCAGCACACTTTAGGAAGGGCACCCAGTCCAGTCTCCCACCCAGGGCCTGCTTGAGCCGTCTCTTCCATGTTTGTAGAAAGATGGAGCCAGACCTGCCTCCATAGGCCTGCCTCCCCACTAGGGGAGGCTTTTCCTTGGGGGAAACACAAAATGCTCAGTTCCATCCTAGCCCTTCCGAAGTTTAAGTCTTCTCTTTACATTTTACTTGAGTCTTTTCTTCTTTAGATCCTTGTAACTCAACCTCAGCCCTTGTTGGGAACTGCCCTGCCTGGTATCAGAAGCTGCAACCCCTGCCGAGGCTAAGGCTGAGGGAGAGAGCGACCTTGGACCATAAGCCACTAAGGAGACAAAAGCTTATCTCCCTGGCAGGAGCACCGCTCCTACTCCTTTTACTTCACCCTGCCTGGCCCCCAGTGCTTGGTCGGTTAGCCAATGATGGGTAAGATTCCCCAAGGGGGGAACAACCTAAGACATGCATGATCATGTGGGAGGCCCCCACGGAAGGACTTTGGGGGCTACAGCAAAAGGGGGTGATGGACCCTCGCCCCTCGGCTTTGACATAGCCTGAGTCCTCATTGTCTGTGAGAAAATCTCCTTATCTCTTCATTGCCTTAGTTCCCTTGCTCCACCTAAGCCTGCAACAATGACTGGGTGGTGCCACCCTGTGCTGGAAAGGGCGGGTTCCCCGGGTGATCAGGCCTAAGAAAGAATATGTAAAATCCTGTGAAACCTGCTTTGTTTAGAATGCTCTCAGTTGAATGATAAGGGTCCGAGGAAGAAGTAAGTTTACTCCTCAAAGTTCTACAGCTCTTTGACCCTGACTCAAAATAGGCCCTCAGACTTCCTTGTTACCTATTGTTTGATCCTTACTTCCTGGCAATGAGTAATGAGCTTTACCTGAATTCTTATGCAAACGAACCCAATAAAAGCCTGCTCGGGTGGGAGAATGAGTCGCTCTCCCGTAGGGGCGCTCTCCCCTGGGGAGGGTGGCCATGGCGCTCCCCACTTGAGAGAGTGGCCACTCTGTCCCTATTTCCCCACAATATCTGGTTGTCTCTGTGTATGTTCTTCTCGTGTTTCGACGAGCCATCCTCAGCGTTCCGCGGTCACTGCCGGTCGGTGGCCGAGATAGGCCCCCCGCCCCCAGATTCTGGTCCCCTTTCCCTGATATACTAGGGAAAGCTGCCGCTGCAGATTGCCCGACCCCAGTCTCAGAAGGGCAGGAATTTGCTGAGGCTGTTATTTTAAATAGCCTGGTCCATGGGCCCAGGATAACTGGCAGCAACAAGAGGGTGACCGGGACTGTGGTGGTGGCAAGGGAGGGTGGCTGGTGGTTGGCCCCCAGCTGGGCTCAGTGAGGAGGTGCATGCAGATTTCAGATGGTGGCTTAACCTTGTGCCCTTGGGTGGACTTTGGCAAAGCTGTCCTTTTAAGCCTCCTCCCACCCATTCAGATCACTCAGTTGCTTCAAACCTGGGCATCTGCCTAGTGGCCAGGCTGAGTCATCACCCTTTATTGTTAAATAACAGTGAAAACCAGACTTGGAACACAGAGCCCTGCCTTCAGCCAGCTCAGGTCCACACAGGGCAGAGTCTCAGGCCACCGCTCTCCACTGCATGTGACTAACCCTTCTCCCCTTCTTGCCTGGCTATGCTTCTAAGCCTGGAACCCTGGCCCTGCCCATCTGCCAAAGCTATAGTGTAGCTCAGTCCCTGGGGAGTAAGAAAATAATAATAATATAATAACAATAAAAATAAACCCCTAGGGCTTGGGGCCAGTCGTACAAGAACTCTTGGCATTGCTGTGCTCTCACATTCCCACTCCCCTTCTCCTCCTCCCCCACTGGCCCCAACCAGGACCCGCGCACAACCTTCCACCCCGTTTGTGTTGAGTGAGGTGTCATTTCTGCTGACGAGGAGGAGGGAAGAGGGAGACCAGTGAGCAGGTGGAGATCAGCTCCGGTTTCAGGAGGCTTGGCACTCCTGTTAAGTTCTTTGGGAGTATTAGTCCCTGAATACTAATGTCCCAAAGGAGACTGGCATTGCCCAGAGGGCAGGACAGCGCCTCACACCACTCTGTATCCCTCCAAAGAGCCTGACCCATGCTGGAAATATTCATTCTTCAATAAATACTCATCCATCCACTTACCCATCCATCTCCATCCGTCCATTCATCCATCCATCCATCCATCCATCCATCTCCACTCATATACTCATTCATCATCCATTCATCTGTCCATCTATCCAGCACATGTACTATATGTCTACTATGCATTAGCACTATGTAGGTCTGAGGATACAGACAAGGAACTCTTTCCATGGGACTTGTGGAGGGTTGATCAGTGAGCCCAAGTAGATTATTTATATTAATACACAATGCCCAGCAATTATAGGGCGCTTTGTAATTTATAAAATGCTGTCATGCCCAGTGGATTCCTGAGGCAAGCTGGGACTAGAACCCAGGTCTGTCTGACTGCTGCTCGCCTAGCATTGCAGAGCTGTGCTAAGAGACGTACTTATGATTTAGAACAAAAGGAACATTTTCCTGCTCCAGGGTTTCCCCTTCCTGACAAGACCCTTTGGATGGCATGGTTCCATCCAGGAAGGTACCCTGTTGCTGTGCCTAGGGGACTCCTGGTGCTAGCAGGGCCAAGCCCTCTTGAAAGATTCTGGTTTCTGACTGTCCTTCCTCTGTGCCAGCAGCTGCATCGGCCGGTGCAGAAACCCGAGCTGGGCCCTAGTTGCCGGCGCTGGGCGGGGAGTCTTCTCTGCTTGGCTGGCTGCCATGCCTGGGAGTTCCTCCTGGGTGGGGGTCTTTGGACTGGATCTAAGCCCTCAGCTGCCATATTCTAAGCCTCATCCTTGCATCCCCTGCCTCCACTCCTCCTCACTAAAACACAAATGCCCCTGGGGGCTGCTGGGACAGACAGAAGAACAAAAAAAAAAAAAAAAAGAAGAAAACCAAAAAACTTCCAAGGCACTTACAGCTGTGTCTGCTTAGCATCGGCCTCCGGCCTCTGGGGTCAGGCAGGAGTTTTTTCTGAGTCTGGGGTGTCTCCTCTTGGATCAGCAGTCTCAGCCCGGTCAGAAGAAAATGGCTTTGGAAGCAAATAAGAGTTTGTTGAGGCCAAGCCACTTCCTTCTGAGTTTTCCTCCCCTCCCTCTCATGCACAGACCTGGGAAAGTTGCAAAAGAGGCTGGGCCTGGTGACCTCAACTGCGTGGGTGGAGGGGTGGGGTGGAACTGGAAGGCTAGGCTTCAGAGCCGACTAGATTTGGAACCCTGTGAGGATTCACTTTGCAGGGACTCTGGCCCTGAGGGGTGGGGAAGGGAATGAGGAATGGGAGGCTTGAGGGTGAATGCTTGTGGGTGGGAGGACCTGGAAGGTGGCATGCCTTTGTGGGCACCATGAAAATCCTCTGGTTGGTTTTAGGAACTTCTGCTTCTACTATTGGAAGCCACCCAGCAAAGCGGCCATGCTATCTGTTGAAGTCTCAGACTCACATGTGTAGTGGATTTGGTCCCACCAGCAGCTTGGTCAGGGGAGGTTTTGGTCCTCATGCTTTGCTCTGTACACACACCACCGCATACCACATCACCACACACACACCCACACCACACACACCAGACTTATGGGAGGCAAGTTCTGACATCTTCCTGGGTCTCTCAGATGAGAATGTGTGACCCAACCTGAAGTAACAGCAATTTAAAACGCTGTTAGTGTGAGCCTATCTCTTTGAGCTGCCTGGAGACATGCTTTGGGTAACTGTGGCTGGCAGACATGTTGAACAAACTCAGAAAGAGCCTGGAGGCTTTGAGTAGAGACAAGTGATGAAGATTTACTCAGTGGTCTTAGGGTGTACAAACTGGAGACATAACTAGACAATACCCAGAGTGTCCCAAAGAAGAAAGGGAAGCAGGTCGTACGGTAGAAAGCACGTCTTTGGGAAGAATCAGTCCCGCATTCTAAGCCTTCGGATTGGTCTGAGACTGTCATCTTCCAGATGACCGTCTAGATAGTGGTCTGGATACTGGAGGTCAGGTGGTCTGGAAACGTGAACATTCTTCCCTTAGTTATCCAGGGGCTCATCAGAGGGTTGTCTGGAGGTTTGATGTGTGTCTAAGCATTGACAAAAGACTAGAAAGTTTAAGTTCCCAGGTTGTTACACAAGAATAGAACAGTTGCCTCCTTGCCTCAGCTTGCTTGATTTTAGTAACTGAGCAGCTTGACTAGAGCGACCCTGTCCAGAAAGAGACAGAGAGTGAGAGCCTCTGGAGGTGCAGAGACACATGCAAGCCTATTTCAGAGGACATGACATAGTTGCCACGGGAGCCTACTGCTGTGGGTACTTCGGGGTGGGGGAAGTGAGCTGTGTTCAGCTAGTCCTTACAGCCTCTGAACATGGGACTGAAACCTATACCTTTAGGGGATGTTTGCAGAAGTACCCTTAACACCTTTGGTAGCCAAGTCACCAACCATCCTCAGACTCTGGTTCCCACTTCCTCTGTCCATGTGGATCAAAAGTCAGGGACTTCCCTTTTCTTTCTCTGACACGTGCTCCAGTGGAGAATGATGACCAGCTTCTCCCCTGTGGGGGAGGCCCTGACGCTGCGTTCACTGCACACCCCTCCTTCCTTCCCTCCTGCATGCAGCTTTCAATGACCTGAGTCTGTCAGCCCGCTGGGGAACAAAATGGACTCCTGCATTTTGTCAGTGGGAGTAGGACATGGTGCAGGTGATGGTATCAGGAATGCAGCTAAAGGGTGGTGGGGATTTAGAAGATCTCTAGAGGAGGGAAAGGCTTTATAGAAAGCAGGGATTTGAGTCAGAGCTTGCAGGATGTGGGGGTCTGAACATGTGCATTGTGTGCTGAGTGGAGGAGACTGTGCACTAGGCAGGCTGCACGGCAGGGCCCAGCGCCTCCCAGCCTGCGTCCTGCGGGCCCGAGGCTGCAGCCTGTTCTTTCTCAGCACTGCAGTCCAGCACCGCTGCACTACACTCTAACAGTCACTGAAAAGGGGTCACGGGGGAGCATGCTTCTCTGGACAACAGGGTCGAAGGAATCCCGGGAGCGAAAGTGCGGGTGAGAAAACGGCAATGGTTCTTTTGGGCCCTGGGTAGAAGAGATGTGAGTGACGGACAGCAGGTCAGACTGCGGCAAGGCCCTGGAGAGCCCCGAAAGTCACGTCAGCTTGGGTTTCATTGGGTGCCCAGTGGGGAACCCTCAGAAGTTTGGAGCAGGGAGGACTGGTTGGAGTGAAGTTTCAGAAATGAGCCTGGAGGGAGAGACCAGAATCAGAGCACCAAGATGTTCTTGCAATGCTCATTGGTGAAAGGCAATGACTAGCAGCACAGGGACAAGGGAGCAAGTCACTGAAGCCATTCTATGACGTGATCAACAGGGCTGTTGTGACGATCAAACCCAGATGTGCTTGGTCATTCAGCAGGTACTGCAGAGGCCCTGAGCTGGGGGCTGTGTACTCGGGGGTGGGGTGGGGTGGGGGGAGCTAGACCTCCTGCATTCTCCCTCTTCTGGCACTTAGAGGGCTCCCAGCAAATAGTAACTGAATCTGAGGATGTACTAGCTGAGTGGGAAGGACTGTGAGGCAGATGGAGGGATGAACCTGTGTGACGGAGGGACAGTGAAGTCACTACCTGAGATGGGAAAGATAGAGAGATTGGAAGGGGATTACCAGGCTCTTCTTTTGTTTAAACTGAGGTTGATGCACCAGCAGGACATTTCCATAACACCAGTTAAGATCATTGGCAAGGAAACTCTGTTTTATTCATGATTCTTTCCCCAGACCACTGCTCAGTGTTGTGGCCCTGAACCCGGCCACCCTGACCAGACCAGCCCCTGTCTTGCTTCCTGCCAGTTCTGGCGCTATTTACCTGGTCAAGGAGCCCGGGAGCAGGGAGCCAACTGAGAGGAAGCTTGTGCTGGGCCTGCGCCAGGCTGGTGGCTCCTCTGAGACCCTGGCTTCCCAGCAGCTTCCTGGCAAGGCCAGGAATACGAATGAGCAGTGCAGGGACGACATGCCCACAGACCAGGCTCTGACCGACTCAGGGAGGAGAAAAAAGAAACCAGCAGAGAGAAGTTCAGACTCGCCCCACACCCCAGCTCCCCTGCCGTGGGACCATCCTGAGCTGCACACGGCCAGGCCACGCTGCCTTGCTAGAGACTGAGCACCAGCTGTGCTTGTTGCCACTCTGCAGTCAGCTTGGAAACTCACCTCCTTGCACTAACTACCCTCCCTCACTTCCCTTTTTCCCTCTTTTGCTTTCTTTGAACTTCCCAATAAAATGTTAAAATAAGCTTCTGTCTCAGGCATTTAAAAATTTTCCCCTTAAAGAACTGGGACCCAGAGAAAGCTCAAAAAATATTTGTCAGCTAAATGAATGATTGACGGGACTCAGTTTAGATAGCACAGAACAAGAAACAAAGATACAGGAGTTGTTTTGAAAAAGTCATAGCTTTGCAATGACCTTTTAGAAATGTCGACATGAGGATTGTCCCCATAGAATGTGGAGGCGTCTCATCTCCTAGGCGTGCCAGGGGTAGGAGACACGGAGAGCAGAGAGGTGAGGCAGAATCTGAGACACATTCACAGTTAAGAGGTAGGAGAAAGAAAAGGGTCCCAGTGGAGGTCTGTGGGGTAGAGGCTCCCTACACCTCTGGGCCACAGCGAGATGGCACTTCCAGCCCCTGTAGACAGGTGTGACCCTGGACCACATTTCAGTGATGGGCAGAGTGGTGATTGGGACAGCGCTCCTGCCCTCACTGAACTCATGTCCCACAGATGCAGGGCAGGGGTGTGAGACCCATTTTCACGGGGGGCCACATCAGCCTCCTGGTTGCCTCCAAAGGGCCAAAATAATTTTGGGACTGTATAAACGTAAGTACTCCTTAACTGTTAATGAGTTGAAATTACATTCAGCCCTTTGAAGGCAACCGCAAGGCTGATGTGGCCCCTGGTGAAAATAAGTGTGACATTCAGCATTCCCCTGCTGAAGGGGCACTGTCCTGCCAGTACCTGGCTTCTTCCAGGCCTGGCTCAGTAAAACCCCTCACAGGATCTCTCTCCACAAGGCAGAAGGGCCCGGGTCTTTGAGTCACGTGACTTGCCGACTGCACTCTTTGTGCGTGAGAAATAAACTTGCATGGTTTAAACCACTGTGAGTTGAGGGTTTATCGGTTACAGAAGTTAGCGTCATGTCACAGCCGGGAAGCGCTGAGCAGGCAAGAGGCAGATGTCAAAGCCAAGGAGCAGGAGCTCGCTGTGACCTGGAGGCCCGGACTTGGAGTTCCAAGCCCTGGCGTCGTTTGCACAGCTCGGGTTGGTGGGGAGTTGACTGTGTTCTCCTGTCTTCCCTACCCTCACCACCCTTTTAAACACAAGTTCTTTTGTGAGCTCCTCACCATGGTCACTGAGCCATGGTCCCCAACTTTACTTAGAGAAGGGACCAGAGTTCACAGTCACCCACCTGGTCTCCCTCGTACAGGAGGAAGCATGTGCCAGGGTCCTTCGGTAGAGGCAGGAACGGAGGAAGAGATGAGCCACGAGGCCCAGGGAGGACAGAGCAGGGCAGCCCTGGCGGTCTTGGCGTGGGGAACCTGGACGCTGTCTCTCTGTGTGCCTGCCGCCCAGGACTCAGCTCCAAGCCCTCTGTGGGGTCCCGCTCAGCCATCGATTGCCAGGAGAGAGAATCTGAGGGGCGTGATGTTGGTGGTGACAGGACTGCTAGCCCCCTGGCTCATGTAGAACAGAGAGGGACAACTCCCCAAAGGCAGTGACGGCCCACACGATAGCAGCCTCCCGGGAATCTGTTAGCATTCCCAGGCGGCAGCAGACCCGAAGACGCTGTTTGGATCCTCTTGGGATCAGCAACCATTGACCTTTCAGCAGCAGCAGCTGAATTTTCACTTTAAAAAGCAAATGTTACTGGGGGCACTGACTAGAATCTACCTGCCGTCCTTGCGTTTGAGACGTGCTGAGCAGACAAATGCCTGGGCTTGAGGGAAGGGAAGGGAAGGGTGTCACTGGAAGCTGTGGGCGTGGGGTCCGGAGACGTGGGGTCTACGGTCACCTCCACTTCTAACACACTGTCTCATTGCTTTACACTCCCACTTCCCTGTCTAGAAAACTGGGTAACGAGACCTGCTCTGCCTAATGCACAGGTTTGCTGTGAGGGGGGCAGGGGAAAAACAAAGACAAAATACCAAAAGCTTCTAGAAGGACTTTAAGAAGCCAAAAGTCAAATACAAGAGCACTTAATCGGCAAAGCATCTGTTATGAGCTGGATTGTATCCCCCTGAGGAGATGCACTGAAGCCCTGACCCCCATTCCTCAGAGTGGCCTTATGAAAACAGGATCAGGGCAGATGCAGGTCGTTGACATGAGGTCACACTGGAATAGGGTGGCCTCAGCTCGGTATAACTGGTGTCCTTATGAAGAGGAGAGAAGACGCAGAGACAGACACACAGGAGGGACACCGTGTGACAGTGGAGGCACCAAGTGAAGGGTAGCTGTTCTGAGACAAAGACCACCAAGGATTGCTGGCCACCACCAGAAGCTAGAAAGAGGCAAGGAAGAATTCTCCCCTACTGGTTTCAGAGCCAGAATGGGCCTGTGAACACCTTGATCTTGGACTTCCAGCCTCCAAAACTCTGAGACAATACATATCTACTGTTTTAAGCCACCCCGTTTGTGGTACTTGCTTACGGCAGCCCTAGGAAATGAATATAACATCCTTGGACAATTTCCACAGCAGAGCGAAGCTTAGCCAAAGCCCTCGGCGCATCCCTGAGAGGTGTGTGATCAGGATCAGCCATGTGTCCTAGGACAAGGACCTGGGTTTCAGGGCTAACACCACTGATGTGAAGGTTACAAAGAGCAAAGGTCGGTTTGGGAAACCCTAAAGCAGCTAGTAGGGCTAAGTAAGTTCACACAGCTGGGGGCAGTTAAGTTCCTGCTGCCTGCAGGGTCACTTCTGCCTGGAGGGACCAGTGTGCTCAGAGTGGAACTCGTTAGGGCAGCCTGGGGATGCAGTGTGCTTTCGCTTCCTGCCTAGGGGGTGTCAGTGTCACTTTCATACTCCAGACTGCCACCCTTCAACACGCCAGGGAGGCTGCTGGCCAGCCAACAGAAATCGCCCTGGGGAGAAAGCCAACCTGCAGGGATGCATCTGACAACTGGCTCCTACTGTTTTAGAAGCAAAGTCTCTTTGCTCTAGGGCTTCTGCCTTTTGTGTGGTCTGCCTGTGCTGAGTGTAGGCCAGTCAGGTCCCTGGGGGAGCAGGGCACATAATCCACTTAAATGTTTACACACACACACACACACACACACACACACACACACACACACACACACACACACACACACACACACACACACACACACTGTGTTACTGAATTCTCCCGATAACCCCTGAGGTCCTTAATGTTACCGCATCCATTCTACAGATGCAGAACCTGAGGCGCAGAGGCGCCCCCTGGTGTCAGGAGCCTGTCTGACTCCAGTGCCTGTGCTGTTAACTCCTCTGTTAACACGACTTTGAGAGCTTATTTGGACCAGGCTGTTCCTAATTAAATCTGAAAGCAATAATTCAGTGAAAAAATAAATGAAAACAAAACACAAAGTGTGTGTATGTGTGTGGCCCTGATCTGCTTCGACCATGACACTTAAAGGGGAAGGGACGCTGTATGGAACCGAGTGCTCCCACCCAGGTAAATTCCTTGACGCTCTCCCGACAGCCCTGCGAGGTGGATCTCACAGACCTGAGGTAAGCAGCCGACGCCCCCAGTGTGGAGAGAGGCGGGGCACCCGTGTGAATCCAGGTTACCTGTGAGCCTGGTGTGCTTTCCGTGACCCCTGTTGCCCAAAGAGACAGCCAGGGCTTAGAGAGACTCGCTCAGTGCCAGGCACAAAATAAATGTTTATTGGATTGCATTGAATTAAACTCCAAATTAACGTAATGTTCATAATGTTCATAATGTTCATAATGTTGAAGAGAGGATGTGACCAATAAACGGACACCCTACAGATGTGAGAAGGACCCAGCTGTCTGTACCAATGCAGAATCTGCTGCTAAGTGAAAAGATCAGTTTAGAGACGAGTGTGTGGCAGATGATTCCTTTTTTTGAAGACAGAACACGGTTTTCTTACCAATACTCACCTCCGTCTGATTATATATGCAGAAAGAAGGGCAGCATCAAACAACTTCAAGTGATAGTAATGCTTATCTCCGAGGGGGAGGATCATGAAGGACTTCCACGTATTTGATAAAAAGCAAAAACATGAAGGTACTTCCATTTTTAAAGGAGCAAAAATGAAAAAAAGGAAAAGGAAGAGAAGTTTTTTTTCTGGTGGCAGCAGGTCCCACTGGAATGGGGACATGCTTCAGACCTGGATTCTCCATGTCGGCTTCCTCAGCACGGACCCTGGGCTCCAGAGGTGGAACGGGTTTGTTCAGGGCCTCTCTCTGTCTCTGTATCCTGCCATCTCTGTCTCTCTCTGTATCCTGTCACCTCTGTCTCTCTCTGAATTCTGTCACCTCTGTATTCTGTCATCTCTGTATTCTGTCACCTCTGTCTCTTTCTGTATCCTGTCACCTCTGTCTCTCTCTGTATTCTGTCATCTCTGTATTCTGTCATCTCTCTCTGTATTCTGTCATCTCTGTCTCTCTCTGTATCCTGTCACCTCTGTCTCTCTCTGTATTCTGTCATCTCTGTATTCTGTCATCTCTCTCTGTATCCTGTCACCTCTGTCTCTCTCTGTATTCTGTCATCTCTGTATTCTGTCATCTCTCTCTGTATCCTGTCACCTCTGTCTCTCTCTGTATTCTGTCATCTCTGTATTCTGTCATCTCTCTCTGTATTCTGTCATCTCTCTCTCTACAATCCCCCCTTGCCCTGTGAAATATTTCCGTTTACAACAAACATATGAACACATTATAAGAAACCAGGACTCCTTGGAAAAAGGGCCTAGAACAACTCTTTGTACTGTGTGAATTCAAAAGTTCACAGAAACTAACTTGAAGGGGAGCCCCCTGGCTAAATAAAGGGGGGGGCATGATTTGAGCATTAAAGACCACAGTGAGCTGGAACACTCATTATTCTGAAGCTGGTAAATAAAGGGGAAAAAAACCCAAGGAATTTGCCTTCCCTGTATGAGCTGTACCTCATGGTGAGCAGTTGATAAGAGTTATTTTTTTGCCCTATTTTATTTTATTATTTTTTTAAAATTTTATTTTTCAGTTACAGTTTACATTCAATATTATTTTGTACTAGTTTCAGGGGTACAGCATAGTGGTTAGACAATCACATACTTTACAAATTGGTCCCCTGATAATTCCAGCACCCACCCGGCAGCATACACGGTTGTTACAACATTATCTGTTACATTTCCTAAGCTGTACTCACATCCCTCTGACTATTTTGTAGCTAGCAGTTTGTATTTCTCAGTCCCATCACCTCTTCCCCCAGCCCCCAGACCCTTCTCTTCTGGCAATGATCTGTCTGTTCTCTGTGTCTATGACTAAAAGAGTTTTTTTTTTAAATAGAAGACCTCAGATGATCAATACCGAAGGAAAGACAGAATCGGAGGAAGCCTGTTTGCATCCCCAATGACAGTGCGGATGCCAGCATCGCCAGTGGCTGCTAACACCTGAGTAAAACACCAAAGGGAAACTCAGCGGACATGGATGGCTGAGACGGGGAACCCCGGGACCTGTGCACCAGCCCTGCCGCTTACTCGGAGTGGAGGTGCCGGTCATTACCGATCTCTTGATGGGACACAGTGGGGTGTGCCCAGCACCGGCTGTGAAGGGTTCTTGCCACAAAACCAGGCCTCTACATCTAACTACCGTTTTACAGGAAAGATGGGCTCAGAGAACATGTTACATGACACCTCTGGGTTTTAACCAGCAAAGTTCAGAATGTGGTAAACTCTACAGATGAAAAGAGAGGTAAGAGACATTTCAATTACCTGTGATTTGTGGACTCGTAAATCCTGAAACAAGCAAGGCGATTGCAAACATGACCAAACATGTGTGAGACAACAGAGGACATTTGAACACTAACTGCACGTTTAAAAAGTTAGACGGGTTTGCTCACAAGTCCTTCTTATGGACTTTATTCATAAATGATGTGATGCTAAGAGTTAGCTTCAAAATAATGCAGGTCTGTGGGGCTGGAGAGCGGGGTGGGTGGCGGTGCACATGGAACGGTCCTGGCCGCGCGCAGGCGGGCTGTGCCCAGGGGTTCACTGCTCTATCATCTCTGTGCTTCTCTACATGTCTGGAGATTTCCATAACAAAACATTAGCAAAGAGCAATCAAAACATGGACATAGCACTTAGTTCTTCTGTCATGATGGTGGTGGAAGTGGCGGGTATATGGAAATGTGTGTGTGTGTGTGTGTGTGTGTGTGTGGTCTCATGCTCTGTTTGGTCCCAATTCAAGTTGCAGCTCTGGAACAAAAGCATTCTTTTAAAAATGACTTTGTGGCAGGTGTGAGTGATGCCCCGCCCTAACAGGCCCAGCTGGATTTCCACAGGTGTTAGGCAGGCAGGCACAGACCCAGGCCACTCTTTAGGGAGTGGCTCGGGCCAGCCCCACCCGGTTATTCCCACGGTCAAAGACGGAGTAAAACTGTCTGATGAAGACGTCGCCCAGGATCCAGAGGGGCCCAGATGGAGGCTGTATGTCAAGACCTTGAAAGCCACTGAGGCAGAGCTCCATTCCATCCACGAAGTCCTGGGGTTGGAAAGAAGAGCATAAGTGACAGGGAGAAAGGAAGGAGTGTTGCCTAGGGCTGCCCGTGTGGTGGCCTTGACCATGCCAAGGGCCTCAGGCGGCCGCTTCGCAGTTTTAGTTGGTTAGTTCTTCCTCCTGCTTCGTGCACGCTTACCCGTATACTCAACAAAGTGTTTGAACAGCCCCCTAGACGTGGGCCCAGACCTTGTACATTCTCCAGTGTTGAGAGCTGCCCATCTATCCTACACCCCCATAAGGTTTCAATTTTCACAGCTGGGAAAATTGAAACCCTCAATTATTCAGGCATGGCTGGAAGAGCAAAAGGTTTGGCATTAGAAAATCTTGACTTAACCTCTGGTTTCTTTAGTTTCTAGTCAAGCTCAACTTAATTTCTTTTAAGGGAGAGAAATTGCTCTATAAACGGCTAGCCACCGCTATTTTCTTATTGATGTTTTGGGTGAAATCATGTGAGTGGCTCCTCTCAGGTCAAAGGCAAGTAGGCACCCCTTGTTCTCGAGAAGAGTGGAACCCACCACAACCTTGTATTTTTTAGTTTGGCAAAGAGTTGGGATCTAACAGAAGGGTGTGGTCTTTCCAACAAACACTTGAAGTCTGAGGTTGTTGATGACGGAGTAGGAAAACTTGCAGAGGGCTAAAGACTTCTTGAGAAGAAGAGGATAAAAATGCAAAGGTATTACAGCATCCGTGAGGGACTGAGGTGGCTCTGACTGAAATCTGCTGGCAGAAAAGGACAACGCCACCACAGTGGGTACAGGGGAGGGGGCTGGGTTGAGCAGAGCCTCATACGGAGAGTAGGGGGTGCCAGAGTGGTGAAGAGCGTGTGGACGGATGGATTTGGCAGCCGAAATGTTTGGCTTGTCCTCTGTATGGTGTTCACAGTGGCAGCTTCAGAATCTTCTGTTGGAGGAATTTAGGGGACTTGACCTGAAGATGTGTTTTAAAATAAAACATTTGTTTTCTCTTCTACTGTAAGTTTGTATCTGGTGGCTTTGGGAAGGGGTTAGGGGAGATCAAGGTGTGGGGTAGGGGGTAGGTGAATCCCTAAGCCCTCAGTCTACACCTTAGCACCTCAAGTTGGGTGCAGTCACCCTGATACGGTGGGTGGCTTTTGGGCAATTCAGTATGTCAAAGTGTGTCATCAAAGAACTCTGATACTGAAAATGCAGCCCAGCTGTGATATGAAATGGTCACAAGTTTCTCAAACACCTGGGGGTCCCTTTCGACCTCACCCTTCACATCTATGCATCTACTGCAACGAGGAATTTTCTTAATTGATTATATATTATAAGAGCTATAACTTTATTCTGTAGCTCCCACCCCCAAGCAGCTCATATCTAGAAGCATTAACTCTCTGAGTTTCAATATCCTCGTCTGTAAAATGGGAAAATAATACCCTAGTCTGACTTCGTGGTTAAGAGGATTTGGGTGGTTGAATGGCTTGTCCCAGGTTTGCCGCTGCTTCATGGCAGAACAGAAAATAAAAGCCCCAGCCCGGTGGTCCTTGCACCACACATAGGCAGCTGTGTCTCTCCCAGAGGAAATGCCTCATCAGTGCAGGATAAGCTGGGGGCGGGGCTTGGGGTAAATGCAGGGGACTGTTCCAAAGGGGGAAGTGGCAGGTGTATGGGGAAGACCCTGAGACTTGCAGAATGAGGAAAGTTCTTTTTTTCTTTTGTTTTCTGCTATATTGTGCATGTGTGTGTGTTTTGTGTGTGCTCTTTTTTTAAAAAATTGAATTTATTGGGGTGATATTGGTTAATAAAATTATACAGGTTTAGGTGTACAATTCTATAATGCTTCATCTGTGTACTGTATTATGTGTTCACCACCCCAAGTGACGAGACAGTTCTTACCACCAGGGTGTAGGCAGTTGGTTGAAGAATGTAGGGGACTCCATTGATGGTGAAGATGACATCCGGCATGATGTTGAGATTGTCACACTCCACAGCATACTAAAACACAACAGAGTATCGATTTAGAAATCTCCCGTCTCCCAAGAGAGGCCCAGGCCCCCTGCTCCCACCCCTCCCCACCCTAGGCAGGTACTCACTTCTCCATCCATGGGCGCAGCCCCAATGGCCTTCTGCAGCTGCTTGATGTCACCTGAGGGGCCTGTGAGGAGGGAGGTCCCTGTGTCCACAATGGCCTGGCAGCCGTCTGAGCAGAACATCAGGGTGCTCCCGACCTGGATTCTGAGGGCAAAGGAAGCATCATCAGTCCCCCACCCCTTCTCTGCTTGCCCCCGTCCCCAGCCCCCAAGCTTCCCCCAGCTCCCCGGCAGCTCGCGTGCCCTGCTGGGCTCTCCGACTCCTGAAGCACACCAGTGATTTCCAGGTTGGTCTCTCTCATCACATGCATGTTTCTCAAAAATTTTTTTGACTGAGATTCATAGCAGGATTTACTGCTATGACCCATTTACTTCTTGACCCAATACCTACACACATGCAATGAAAATTTCATGCAACAGTGCTTGACCTTAATACGTGAAGCACACTCTGGTATTTTCTATTTTACTCCATTTCATTAAAAATTATAAATCACGATCCCCTAAAATGTTACAACCTGTAATGAGGTAAATCCCTACAGTTTGAAAAACCCTCAATAGACAGAGAACATTGAGGCTTTTTGTTTTTGTATACCTAGTGTCTAGCATTTGCCTGGCACACCATAGGAACTTATTCCTGGCTGGATTGACACTTGAATTACATTTCTTTGAATTCCTGCATTGTCTGATGCAGTGCCAGGAATATGTCAGGCACCTAGTCCCACTTCCTCAATTGCTCCGTGCCCAGATGCACATGCGGGAGTGTGTGAGGGCTCAGTCAGTGCTGCCACCTCCATGAAACCCTTGAGGATTTCTTCAGACAGAAGCTGCCTTGTCCTGTCTGCTGGGAGACTTTGGTGGCACATCTCATGGAGCTCTGACCACCTTCCTCTCTATGTGTGCTGGTTTGTATGTGTGTCTCATCTTCCGCACATCCTTTGTGAAGGCAAAAACTGGACTCTTTCACTTTTGCACCCCCATTTCACTCAGCCCTTGTCTGTGTGCTAATTAATGTTGAGTGAACAAGAAGCAGCTGGTTGAGTGAGTGTATTTACTATCGGTTGAGTTGAAGGTGCAACAAACATACAAGGAGGAAAGCTGAACGTCGACACTGCGTGCCTGTCACCCCGATTACTGGTGCCCCTTCCTGTGCCTCTGCTCAGCACCCCCATGACTCTAGCCTCACTCCGGACATCCTCTCCCACTGCCCAGCACTTTCATTAGGATCAGTTCAGTGAATCCAGTTTGAGTTGTGTCTGTTATGAGTCTTTCCCTCAATATCGTACTTTGTGGAGGATACTCACGTATCCAGTGCAATCTGCCAGTAGCCTTGCTTGGTGACTGGGACCCAATTCAGACTTCCTGAGAAATGGGAGTGGTCGTAGCCTCCAAAAGTCAGCTCGCTCCCTGCTCCACCTTCTGGGTCACTACAGAGACAGAAAGGCAGATTGCCAGGAAACAGCCACCAGAAAACCCTAGGAGCGAGTTTCTGCCTCTTGGTCTGATCACTCCCAAAAGTACCTAGAGAGGCAGAAATATAAGCCCGGGCTTTGAGACCAGGGCTTCCAAATACTGTGAGCTGATTTGTCTGGAACTTTTGGGCAAAAGAAAAGAGACCGCTCTGCCCAATGTTTTGTGAATGTCCTCCTGCTTCTTGCATAAACAGAGGACTGAGGTGAGAGGTGGGGACAATTGGTCTTGCAGTGCAGAACTCGTGCAGAACCAGGGCTAGGACCAGCCTGAGTGTGCGCACCTCATGTGACTGCAGGCACCTGCAAAAGACACCTTTTCCCCAAGTGTCTTCTCCAGCATTGTGGTGGTACATGGAGTTTGTCTCCATATCATTCACTCTCTTGTGTTAAGGCAAAGATGCTAATGTGAACCCATGATTTTTTTAAAAGCTGGAATAGTTGTTCATTTTTATTGGTGATTTCTCGGTTTATATTCTGGCATCTACAGGATTATGGGGAAATAGGACATAAAACTGATTCATTTTCAGGAGGAAAAGAATCAGAAAAACAAAACTTAGGGCACTGCAAGGCAGGGTAGTAAAGCAGAGGGGAACTGGGTGTCTGTGGGAATCTTACAAAAGCAATTTTAGAGAGGCAAAAGGAGAAAGAACTAACATTTGTTGATGGCCTTTATGCACAGAAGGCGCTGTGCTAGGAATTTTACCTGCCTAATCTTATTCAATCTGCACACCAACCTGGTGTCCATTTGAGGAGACAGAGGTTCAGGGAGACGAAATAATGTAAGTGGTAGGTTTTAGATCCAGGTCAGTCTTACTGCAAAACCTTTGCTGTTTCCCTTCAGAGCTTATGTTTTCCCAGGCTGGAAGGGAGCCGGAGGCTCCAACAGGGGGAAGTGGAGTAGTCTAGACAACCTGCTCTCTTACTCATAGTCCTGCCCGGGCCTGTCTCAGCGGCAGCCATGCTGGAGAGAAAGAATTTGAGAGAGGAAATTTAAGGCTGTCCATGTGGGAAAGAAAAACAAAGGAAATGGGCTTCTGTTAAGATGGGAAGCTCAGGCCAGGGCTCACTGGGAAGGAGTCAGAAAGGTAAGAAATCTTCCCTACACAGGTGGGACAACCCTCCCCCGCACCCACCAGGAGCCCAGGCCAAAGTGCCCAGAGGCGGGCGAGTCTCATGACCTTATCCCAAACTACAACATGCAGTTTAAAATACACATAACGTAACATTTACCATCTTAATCATTTCTAAGTGCACAGCTTAACAGTGTGAAGTATATTCTGGGGAGAGCAGGACCGATAAAGTGGCATTGGTCCTATCAAGATAGCATAACGTATATAAAACAAAGTGGAGTCATTATGTCAACTAAAATGGCTCTCAGTCAGGCATGACACTTTGGTTTAAGAGGAAAACTCCCTAAGTCAGAGCACACACATCTGGCACGGAGACATAGTAGCTGTGTCTGTAGAGCAGGACCACTGTAGACAGGCTCCTGGGGAAATTCCACATGGTCAGCAAGGGTGTCAAGCAGAACAGCCATGGACGGCCCATAGGTTTCTGGGCAAATTCCCCACTTGGCATCAGGGGTGCCAAGACATTTATCGAAAAGACCCAGAAGGGCAGAGTTCACCACTCTCAAGGTATAACTGAGGCAGGCTCCAGACCACTGCTGAGACAGCCGAGTTCCACACCCCAGAGTGCTGCTCCACGCCACGCTGATCTCCCTTGGCATCAGCCATTGGAGCCTCTGCCCTGCTGGACTGAGGACTTCATCTGCCCTGCTGCCCACCTGACTCCAGAGATCCTTGCAAGACACTGACAACTCCCTTGCCCACTGTGCTGTCTCCCGGAGCTGCAGACTGGGACTCTGGGACTCAGGTTCACTATCCCCCATTGATTGCTGTGTGTGTGTGTTCTTAGGTTGTTAGAGTGTGAGTGGAATATTAACATATGGTGATGTTCTCCCTTGAGTGAAGCTGCATTAAATAAAAGCTGAGAGAATAGCATAGTTACTGTGTGCAACTCTTGTCCATTCCTTGGTGCCGGGCTGCTCAGCAGGCAGCTAGCCGAGCAGTTTCCCAGCCGACTTATAGGAAAGACTGTAGCATGAACACATGCTCGTGACATATTCAGTTGTGCGGCCAGTCTCTAGAACCTTTTCATTCTGTTAAACCAAAACTCCATAACCATTCAGTAACTTCCCATTTCCCCCTCCCCCAGCCCCTGGCAACCACTGTTCTACTTTCTATTTCTATGAATTTGACCACTCCAGGCACTTCATATAAATGAAATCATGCAAGTGGTCCTTTGGTGACAAGCTTGGTTCACATGGCATGAAGTCCTCAAGATTCATCTGTGTTGCAGCATGTGTTTGAATTTCCTTTCTTTTCAAGTCTCAATATATTCTATTGTATGTATATACCATGTTTTGTTTATCCATCCATTAACATGCAATGGTTTTATTGCCATCTTACTTTGAATTTTCCTGCCTCCCCACCCCTGGAATTAAGCTTCTTGAGGACAGAGACTGTCTTTCTTGCTTCATTGTATTCCCAGTGCCTAAATTATGCTCAGCATATAACAGAGGCTTGAGAAATATCTATTTATTCACCGCATAAATGAATATCCAGTTCCAGAGATTCCTTAAATCAGTCCGGCGTACTACAATTTACAAAGTGCTTTTTACAAGGACTGTATGAGGCAATCCCATTTCCTCAATAGTCAGAGAGGTTAAGTGTTTTGCCCCAAATCACACAGCTGGCCGAACAAGAGATCTAACCCAGACAGGGTGACTGCTCCATCTAGCACTCTTTCAACTGCACCAACTTGTCTCCCTGGAAATACAATTCACCTTAGCCAGGCTAAGTCTTGACGGGACTTACCTACTCATGTAGACAGAAAACATGGGTACATCCACCAGGTTCTGGGCCATCATGTTGTCAAACACTGGGGTCACCCCTCCAACAGCCAAGGAGGGGTATCCCAGGCCCAGAATTCCATCAAACTCTGCGTTCACGAAGGTCTGGCCAGGCTCTGTGACACTCTCCCCAAACTGCTGGCCGACCACCGTCAGTCCTTCCACCTGATGGGAAAAGCCCAAAGGAAATTTGCATAGGAGATCTTTGCAAAAGGGTCTCAGGTTCCTGGATTCTCCCTCTGTCCTAAAGCTAATTCTTCTCCTACCAAGTTTTCTTTATTAAATGGACACAATGATTTTTGCCATAGTCGAATTCAATTTTTTAATGTAAACTTTTTTTGTTGTTGAAGTATAAACAGAAATCATAAGTGTGCAAGTTAATGAGTGTTCATAAACTGTACTCACCCATGTGAGCAAGCTCCCAAACTGAGAAACAAAACATCACAACCTCCTGGAAGCTCCTTCATGCACCCTGCTTTATTATTGCACCGTTCCTCAGGAGTGACTAATCTTCTGGTTTTTAACAGCCTATATTGGCTTTGCCTATTTTTAAATTTTATATAAATGGAATCATACAGTATGAATTCTTTGGCATCTGGCTCTGTCACTCAATATTATGCTTGTTGCATGCTGTCCTAATTCACTTATTGTCATTGTATTCCACAGTATGAATATGCTGTCACTACATATGCATTCTTTCATGATGGATATTTGGGTTATTTCCTGTGCTTGACTATTGCTAATAGTGCAGTTTGTACATGTCTTTGGGTGAACACGTGTACATATTTCTGTTGCATATATGCCTAGGAGTAAAATTGTTAGATCACAGGGTATGCATACATGCTGACAGAATTGAGTAAATACTGATAGAGTTTTCCAAAGTGGTTTGTACCAACTAATGTTTTCAATACCAGTATTTTAAGAGTTCTAGTTGCCAGTAGCTCCGTGTCTTCTCCAGCACTGGATGTTGTCTTCTTTCCCATTTCAGTCTTCTAGTGGATATGCGGTGGGAACCTTTGGTTTTCATTTGTGCTTCCTGATTACTAATGAAACTGGACATTGGATGTCTTCTCTGGTGAAGTAGGTTATCTGTGTTTGTCTTATTGATTGGTAGGAGTTCTTTATCTATTCTGGAATCAAGTCCTTTGTTGGATATGTGTATCACAAACACCTCTGGACTGTGACTAGTCTTTTTGGCTGAACAGAATTTCAATATAGCCAAATTTATCAATTATTTTCCCTTTTCAATTTGTGGTTTTCATAACTTGTTTCAAAAATTTTTGCCTATCTTAAGGTCATGAAGATATTTTCCTATGCTTTGTTTTCAAAGGTTTCACTTTTTATATTTATATCTATAGTCTACGATCAGCTCTATAATGTGTGAGGTAGGAGTCAAAACTCACCTTATTTTTTGCTGTATGGATATCTAGGTGACTTACTACCATTTAATAAATATACCATCACTGTCTCCACTGTAGTATCATGTTCAATATGTCAGGTGACTGTGTGAGTAGTCTCTGAATTTTCTATTCTGTTCCATTTGTCTATTTGCTTATCCTGTGCCAGTATCACACTATCTAAATTAGTATATCTTTACAGTAAATCTTAATAGTTGGCAGTGCTTTTCTTCACTTAGATTGTCTTGGTGTATTACATAGTCATATACATTTTAGAATTAGCTTGTCGGTTTTTTGTTTTTAAATCTATTTTATTGATTATGCTATTACAGTTGTTCCATTTTTGCTCCCCTTTATTCCCCTCTGCCCTGCACCCCTCCACCCACCAGCATTTCCACCCCCCAGCCCCAGTTCATATCCATGGTTCATACATATAAGTTCTTTGGCCTCTCCATTTCCTATACTACTGTTAACCTCCACCTGTCTATTTTGTACCTACCATTTATGCTTCTTATTCCCTGTCCCTTTTTTCCCCCTTCTCTCTTCTCCCCCTCCCCTGCTGATAACCCTCTGTGTAATCTCCAGTTCTGTGATTCTGTTCCTGTTCTAGCTGTTGGTTAGTTTGGTTTTGGTTTTGGTTTATTTTTTAGGTTCAGTTGTTGATAGCTTTGAGTTTGTTGTCATCTTATTGTTCATGGTTTTGATCTTCTTCTTTTTCTTAGATAAGTCCCTTTTTAACATTTCATATAATAAGGGCTGGGTGATGATGAACTCCTTTAACTTGACCTTATCTGGGAAGCATTTTATCTGCCCTCCCATTCTAAATGATAGCTTTGTTGGATAGAGTAATTTTGGATGTAGATCCTTGCCTTTCATGACTTGGAATACTTCTTTCCAGCCCCTTCTTGTCTGCAAGGTTTCTTTTGAGAAATCAGCTGATAGTCTTATGGGAACTCCTTTATAGGTGACTGTCTCCTTTTCTCTTGCTGCTTCTAAGATTCTCTCCTTACCTTTAATCTTGGGTAATGTAACTATGATGTGTGTTGGTGTATGCTTCCTTGGGTCCAACTTCTTTGGGATTCTCTGAGCTGTCTCTTCATCGCTTAGTTCTATTTTTGGAGCTTTGATGTGTTCTTTCATTTGGGCCATATTTGTTTGTCTCACTGTGCCTGTTACATTGTAAAGGGTGGAGCCTTAGGTTTCCCCACAGTGGGGCAACCTGAGTTGCTGCGTTCTGGCTCTGTATGTGCACTTGCCTGGCTCTCACGTCACTTTTAGTCACTTCCCCCACTACCCACAAGCAAATTGGGGCCTTCTGGCACTGATTCCCAAGTGGGTGCATTTGTGTATGTTCTAGGACCCTGTGGGTCTCTCCAGCAAGTTCTCCTGTGAAGCTGGGAGTTTCTCCCACCACTGAAACCCCCACAGATTTTTACAGCCAGAGGTTTTGAGGCTTTAGTTTTCTGCACTGGAACCCTAGTTTGCGCAGTCTGTCTCACTCCCCAATTGTTCCTCCTGGTTTATCTGCACACAAATGTGGGACCACCTGGTCCAACAGCCACTGCCTTGCTATAGGTCCTCTCTGCGCCTGCTGCCCATCTCTGCCCCTCCTACTGGCCTGAGTGAATGTTTTTTCTTTAACTCCTTGGTTGTCAGACTTCCATACAGTTGGATTTTCTGGAAGCTCTGGTTATTTTTTGTTTTTAAATTTGTAGTTGTCCTTCTTTTGGTCATGAGAGAAAGCAAAGTGTATCTACCTACGCCTCCATCTTAGCCAGAAGTCTAGAACCAGCTTGTCAGTTTTTAATAAAAATTGCTCTTGGTTTGATTGAGGTAACATTGAATCTATAGATCAGTTTGGAAAAAATTGACTTATTTATAATACTGAGTCATAAGCTTGGTTTATCTTTCAATTTATGTAGATCTTTCTTAATTTCACTCAATAATGTTTTGCAGTTTTTAGAGTAGAGGTCTTACACATTATTTTGTTAAATTTATTTCTAGGTATTCTATGTTTTTGATGTTATAAATAATTTAATTAAAAATCTATTTTGCACTTGTTTTTCCTAACATATAGAAATTTGAATAATTTTGTATGTTGATCTAGTATCCAGCAACTTTGCTAAATTAACTTATTAATCCCAATAGTTGGTTTTCCCATACAATTGGTTCTCTTTTCATTTTAATGCTGTTTTTTTTAGCCATGCAGAAGCTTTTTATTTTGATGAGATCCCATTTGTTTATTCTTTCCTATGTGTTCCTTGCTCTAGAAGACATATCAGTGAAAATATTGCTGTGTGGAATGTCTGAGATTTTCCTGTCTGAGAGTGGTGGTGGGGGAAATGCAGACAGCTGTACTTGAATAACAACAACAAAAAAATCCCAATAGTCAGTAGATATTTTGGGATTTCCTACATATAGATTCATGTCATATCTGAATAATAGGAGTGTTATTTCTTGCTTTACAATCCTAATGCCCTTAATTTCACTCTTTATGGGCTCATTGCACTGAGAGTTAACATCCTTGGCTCATTCTTGATGTCAGGGAGAAGTCTCTCAATAATTTGTAATTAAGTATGAAGTTTTCTGTGGGCTTCCTTGTACATATTCTTTATCAGATTAAGGAAGTTACTTTATACTTCTAGTTTTCTAAGAATTTTTTAAAAAGTCATGCACAGTTGTTTAATTTTATTAATTCAGAGGATTATGTGATTTTTTTCCCTTTATTGTCTAAGATACATTCCTGGGGAAGAATGACTCTTGGTTGGATATCTTATCCTCTTATATATCACAGGTTTATTTGCTAACATTTTGTTAACAACTTTTGTATCTACATTCATGAGAAAGAGATTGATGCACAATTTTCATTTCTTATAATGATCTTCTCAAGTTTGTTATTAAATTTATGTTGGCCTCACACAACGAGTTATGAAGTATTCCTTCTTTATCAATTATCTGAGGGAATTAACATAAGGTTGGTGCTATTTCTTCCTTAAATGTTTGGAGGAATTTACCACTGAGGCTACCTGGGCCTGGAGTTTTCTTTGTGGAAAGGTTTTTAATAACAGAGTCAATATTTAAATGGACATTGGAATATTCATATTTTTATTTATTTCTTGTGTTAGTTTTGACATGCTGTATTTCTCAAACCATTTGCCAAATTTTTAAAAAAATTGTCAAATTTATCAATATAAAATTATTCTTGATATCCTCTCATCATTTTAATGTTTGCAGGGTCTTCATTAATAATTATTTTTTAAGACTTTATTTATTTCTAAAGAGAGGGAAGGGAGGGAGAAAGAGAGATAGAAACATCAATGTGAGCCTCTCACACACCCCCTACTGGGGATCTGGCCTGCAACCCAGGCATGTGCCCTGACCAGGAGTTGAACTGTCAAGCTTTCGGTTCACAGGCTGGCACTCAATTCACTGAGCCACACCAGCCAGGGCTGACTGGTTGTTTTGTATGCTTTCCATGTCCTTCATTATGCTGTTGAAGTTCTCAACTTCATTGAGCATCCATATAACCAATGTTTTGAACATGCCCCTAGCTGGGGACCTGGCTCACAACCCAGACATGTGCCCTGACTGGGAACTGAACCAGTGATCTTTCGGATCACAGACTGGCACACAGCCCACTAAGCCACACCAGCCAGGGCTGTCTTCTCATTTTGGCAGCCTCTCTGTGCCTGTTTCTATGTATTAGGTAGAGTGGCTATGTCTCCAAGGCTTTGTAGAGTGGCCTAATGTAGTAGGTATTCTGCAGGGTCCAGTGGCACCGCTTCCCCGACCACACAAGCTGGGCACTCAAGGTGGGCCCCTTGTGTGCAATACATTATTCTTCATTTCTAATATTGTTAAGTTGTATTTTCTTTTTTCCTGATTAATTCTGCTAGAGGTTTATGGCTTTCATTAATCTGTGTAAAGGGTTCATTCTTGGCTTTGTTGATTTTCTCTATTGTATGACTTTCTATTTTGTTGATGTCCCATTCTTCTATTTATTATTTCCTTCTTTCTTCCTTTTCTGAGCCTTATTCGCTGTTGTTTATGGGGTGCTTGTTTTCTTCTTGTTTATTGCTTAAAATAGATGCTTTAGATCATTGATTTTCAGTTCTTCTAGTACATGCATTTTAGGCTATAATTGTCTCGTTAAGGATTGCATTAGCTGCACCTGCAACTTTTGGCAGGTCCTGTCTTCATCATCTGTGTTAGTCAGGGTTGAGAAGAGAAGCAGAGCCATTAGGAGCTATATATAAAAAGGGTTGTATTCTGGGTAGTGGACTGTATGCCACTGCAGGTGCTGGTTGGAGTGTACATTAGGAATTTGCTTTTGTCCTGGCGCTGCAGCCTGAAGTCTAGTTTGACAGTCAGTAAGAAAAGACAGATGCCAGGTGGGAGAAGGATGAACTGGAAACTTCAGTGCTGTCTTACTGCTTCTAAGCCTCAACAATTGGGGTGTCCTGCAGCTTGATCTGATCCTGTCTGTCACAGAGTTAAACTTGCAGCTGGCCCAGGACCCAGGAAACATGAAGGAGAAACCACTGGAAGCAGGAGCTTCTGTGGGCTTGGCTGTTGCCCTACACGAGCCAGCAGATAAGCAGCAAGTGAAAGGCTAAAATTCCCCTTTACATGCCATTTCCATCCCTCCTCTGCTTCCCAGAGGCAATCTTTATGATCAGTTTGGAATGTGATATAGCTTTCTAAACAGTTATTTGTACTTTTACATATGTTCTAATAGGAAATACAGTATATTGTTTTATCTGTGGGATAATTTTTACATAAACGTTGTGTTTTTTGCTCCTGGCACTTTTTTTTCACTCCTTATGTCCCTCCCTCTCCCACTTTAAAGGGATGTTGATGTCCTGGCTGGTGTGTCTCAGTGGATTGAGTGTCGGCCTACAAAATGAAAGGTCTCTGGTTTGATTCCCAGTCAGGGTACATGCCTGGGTTGCTGGCCAAATCTTTTTTTTTTAAGGGATGTTGATGAAGCCTGGGCCTGGCTGCACCCATGTGTATCAGGAGTGGGTCTGCCTCTATTTCCCCAAAGGCCTGGGCGTACAAAGTTGTCCCATTCCAAGACCCCCAGTGGATGCCTGAAACTGAGGATAATACTGAACGCTATTCTATACTGTGTTTTCCTATACATATCTATGATAATGTTTAATTTATAAATTAGGCACAGTAGGAGATTAACAATAACTAATGATAAAATAGAACAAAACAATATACTATAATAGAAGTTACTTCAATATGGTCTTCCTCTCTCTCTTTCTATCTTTGATAACTGATCTGATCATTGAGTTCGCTACTAAGTGACTACGTGACTAGTGGGCAGTGAGTGGATGCAGTGTGGATACACGGAAAGAAGGAAAACTTCACGTCCTGGGTGGGCCTGAAGATTTCATCGTGCTACTCAGATTACCATGCAATTTAAAACTTACAAATGGTTTATATCTGGAATTTTTCATTTAATATTTTCAGAGTGTGGTTGGCTGAGGATAGCTACAACCACGGAAAGCGAAACCACGGACAAGGGGGACTACCGCACTGTGTCTGTCAGCCTGGGTAGGGCAGGGCCAAGGCTCCCCTGGTTCTCTGTCGCCATACTGGTCAGGTCCCCACCATTCTGAGACTCATAAGACCTTTGGTCACGGGGAGTTTAAGGAGCAGCTCATGAGCTCAGCTTCAAGTTCAGTACTGACCTTGGACCTTTGTTTTGATCACTAGGATTCTGGCTTGTCTCCACTATCGGACTCCCACTTCCTACGCTGTTGCCTTATTTCAGTAACTGAGTTCCCACCTTGAGCCCTGGCTTGGACTTCTTTATTCTTCAAGATGGAGACCTGGTGTTGTCTCCTTGGTGCCCTTGGGGCCAGGAGTCTGGCTCTGAACACGGCCACTGGGCTCTCAGAGCTGTACACTGTCCCTGCAGGAATCCACCTGGCCAGCTCTCCTGGACCCAGCACACTGAGCAGACAGACCCACTGCTGCCACCTCAGGCAGGGAGCACTCCCTGCAGCTGGCCAGGCCTCCCCTTCCCTGAAAGACAGCCCCTTGTTTCCACCTCTGCTCAGGCAGATCTGAAGCTTTCCCCTGAGATCTCTGAACAATGTCTGTCCCAAGTTTCTGACCAAGAGAGGAAACACGAAGGGATCATACTCACGGAGACCTGGTCTGCTCCAATGACCCCAGACAAGCTGCCAGTCCCGTACTGAATGAAGAAATGTCTCCCTGTTGCACTGTACGTGTTGGACCAGGTAGGGTGGAACCTGGGGTGTGTCTCTGGAAAGCAAGAATACCATTGTTGACTAAGCCATCAGCTTCCTCCCTTCATCCTTACCCTGACACCCCCAGCTTCCAGCTGCTGGCCCAACCTGCCTCAGTTTTCCTGCCACCAGTCCTTTCCTCTGTCCCACAGGGCAGTGGGCACTAAACCTCTCTGATGTAGACCTGCGCATGCCAGTCCGAGGACACAGTGATAATCAGGGACCCCTGGAAAGGTTGGCCATGGCCCCCCTAGTAAGCTACTACCTTTTCCTCTACGTATGTAGTGGGCTAATAGGGGACGAAATAGTTGTCCCTGGGAAAACATAATGGCCTGTGACCTTGTGCGGCACACCAAAATAAATGCCAGGTATCAGGCACCAGCAGCAGCCCGTGCCAGCCACGGTGGGGCAGAGCCTGGCATTCAAAGGAAGCTCAGGGATAAACAATTGCCACTCCAGGAAATCACTCCCAACTCCTCGCCCAACCCATGGACACCTAGTCTTGGTTTATTCTCTGAGAATAAACCCGAGCTATTCTGTCTCTAAAACTTGTCCTGCACAGACTGAGATGTTTTTCCTTAGTTCTTTCTTTTCCAGTCTTCACAAAGACCTCTGAGTCACCTCTGCCAAGTGGGTCCCCCACGTCGTGTCCCCCGAGCCCCACCTCTGGTGTACTGGGAGGCAGCTCACCAGGCCTCCTTGAAGCAGGTGAACAGTCTGCACTTGAATTTGACCCACCTGCCTGCCCAGAAATAGCCACTGGCATGGAACTGTCTCCCACATTCTTTAGGGTGTTCCAAAGGGAGAGAGTCACCACGTACTCAAAAATTTGTATTTTTGGTGGTAGAGTTTCCCTCTACCGATCTTGATCAGTGTGCAAGTTGCTAGCTTGGAAAACAGTCAAATTTTACCTTTCTTCCCGACCCAGCCCTGTGTTTGCTGAAGACAGTCCCGCACAGACTCAGAGATAGAGAGGAGGGGTGGTGTGCAGGGTTGGCCAGTTACTGGAACCCAACCCCTTCCCCCAGATTGCCAGGCTCTGGATCCCAGGACTGGCCTCAGCCATTCCCTGTGGGGGGTCCTGGTGCACTTACTGCAGGCTGGGCTGGTGCAGTACACCGAGGGGACCCAGAGGTTGGAGGAGCCGGTGTCAAAAATGACGGTGAAGTTCTGTGGTGGGGAGCCAACGGAGATGGTGCCAAAGTATTCCATCTACAAGTCAGGAAAGGGAAGAGAGCTGGGCATTGGTGCTGGGGAGGGGTAAAGTTCCCAGGGAGAACTCCACGGGGCCAGTGCCTTGGCTAGCACAGATGGGCCCATAGACCCTGGGAAGGGGCAATCAGAGGTAAAAGAACAGAGGAAGGGTTGAGAGGGACAAGATCAAATCAGTATCCTAATTCTCATTATTATGAAAATCATGGTGAACAACGCAGAGGAGCCTTGCCCTGCTCATCTCTTTCCTCCCATGGGGAGAGGTCCACACAACTCAAGTGCATTGGGGCTCATTCAGCCAAATTCACCGGAACCCAGAAGGTCAGTCCGTATGCATCCTCCTAGAGGAGAAATCCATACTGGCTCTCAATGCTGCTGCCCACTAGCCATGACCCAGGCTGAGCCTCCTGCCCTCTGCCTGCTCCCAGCCCCTGCCCCAGGATGCCTCACATCCAGGTAGTTGATGAGGGGCTCGTTGGCACTCTGATCCATCTGGCAGGACTCAGTGAACTGGATCATGTCCAAACTCTGGGATTTCCAGAACTCAGAGAGCTGGCCCTGAGCTCGTAGCTTCTTTCGGAGGGACTGACGCTTCCTGAGGGGCACCCTGAAGACAAAGCCGCATATGAGGAAGAGATGCATTTCTGCCTCTCTCTGACCCTCTCTGCCCCAACCCCATTTTCCCAGAGGTTAACTGGGACATTTCATAGGAGGGGGCCCACAAAATAACATGCCAGGATTTGGCCAGAATCAGTGCCCGCTCTGCCCACAGCCCGCCCAGTCTCGTGTCTGCTCCTGTAGACTCTGAGACTCTTAGACTTGAAACGGCCCTCTATCTGGGAGATGGGCTCTTTGAGGTCTTCTGGAAAAATGGAGGATATGGGATGGTCTGCAGTTTTATATAAACTTCATGAGGAGCTGATTTAAAGGCACAGAAAAACTCTGGGGGGCAGTGTTCAGTCCCTGGGGAAGTACTCAGCTCCTTTGAATTGCAGTTCACAGCAGCAGGTTCCCGCTGTTTCACCCCAGAAAGTCCCTGGGTCTCGGGCAGGCAGCTCCGTCAGAGATGGAGGCCAAGGGGTGGCTTGTCATGGGCTGGACACTAGGTGGCCACTTGGTAAACATTTTCTGAGCCCTCAGTTTTTTCTCCTCTTTGCTTCCCCATCATCACCTTTCCTCTCCTGGGTCAGTCCTAGGCTTGAGTGCAGGGCCCCAGGTGGGCACAGTGCTGGGGACATGGCCTTACCTGTGCAGTGCTCCTTGGGCCTGCCCCAGGTCCAGGAGCACCAGCAGCAAAAGAACAAGCGTTTTCATTGTACAGCCAGCAACTCCTTTCTTGCTCTGCCACGGCCTGCCTCCGACTTCTCCTTTATTCTGTCCCACAGGGCAGTGGGACCAAATCTCCTTAGCGCAGACCTGCCCAGCTCAGTCTGAGGACACAGTGATAAGGTCCCTGGAGTCAATAGCCAGGCCCAGAGCAAATAGTGTGATGGGGCGTTCCGCCTCCACCCCTCAGCTCCTTTCACTCCAGCGGGGGGTGGGGGCATGGGGTGGATCTGGGGTGGGACCTGGAGACCTGCGCACCCTCTAAGAGTAAGAGGGTTGTCTAAGGCTCAGTATCTCCCAGAGTCTTTGATATCCATCCTGACCCCAAGAAGCTCTGTATTAGTCGAGGGAAAACCTCGCCCCGGACACTGGGCACAACCATACTGGCTGCTTCCCTGAGTCTGTCTGAAGACCCTAGAGGGGTGGAAGCTTAACTGTCACCTCTGGGGAAGGTCTAACTCAAAACGTTCATCAGTTTGTTTTGTCTGTATTTCCTGTTCTCTCCTCACTCCCTTAGGGGCCCCAAGGGCAGTTCACTTCCCCCAGCCAACTTTGAAACAGAAACTAGCACTCCTCAGAGCCCCCCAAATGGGAAAACTTGGCTGTGGATGGTGGAGACAGTTTTTCCAATCCCAAGGACTTGGTGAATCTGGTGCCAAGGGCTGGGGGAAGATCGGGGGACAACAGAGGCAGTCCTGGGGTGCCAGGGAGGTGTCGGGGTCGGGGGATGTGGAGCAGGTGCCTGTAGGAGTTAACTCGGACTGCCACACAAAGTACCACAGTCTGGGTGGCTTAAACAACAGACAGGTATTTTCTCGTGATTCTGGAAGCTAGAAGTCCAAGATCAAGGTGTCAGCAGGGTTGGTTTCTGCTGAGGCCCCTGTCCTTGGTTTGTGGATGGCCACCTTCTCCTCCGTGTGCCCTCATATGGTCTTCCCTCTGTGTGTCTGTGTCCAAGTGTCCTCTTCTTATTCTGACAGGCACCAGTTATATTGGATTAGGATCCACACATAGAACATCATTTAACCTTAATTACCTCTTTAAAGATCCCATCACCAAATACAGTCACATTCTGAAGTACTGGGGGTTAGGACTTTAACATGCACATCTCAGAGGACACCATTTAGCCCATAACAGTGCCAGAGAGCAGCAGGATCCTGCCTGTTGGTGGGACTCTGGTCAAAGGTAGGGGGTGGCAGGGTGGGTTTAGCACTACGTGAGACCCCTCACCGTCTGCTTATCTCCGAGGACATCCCACCGACTAAACAGAGGGTGGGCTTCGTTTCCTTGAGTGCAGGTGGAGAGTGACAGGAAGAAACATCTTCCTCTAACCCTGACCCAAGGTGATGGGACACTGCGCACGAGGGCAGCAGAGGCCACCGTTGCTGTCACACACGACAGCACTTGCGAGCTCTTTCCATCTCTAAAGCCCAACAGAGTTTGGAGCTAAGTCAAAACCTGCCTTGGGCTACAAAAATGTTGAAAAGACATCAAAAGGGCTTGATGACCAGCCAAAATCTGTGACCCCTCACCCTAAAGGAACAGAGTCTCTTTGGCATTTGTCCACTTACAAGGAGTCCTTCTCTTTGACCTTTTGTTGGGGACAGAGCCTATGCCCAGAAGGGGAGTGCAAGCCCCAGGTGGCTGGAAGTCGGAAGAACTCATTTCAGCACCAAGCTGGGCCATGGTTTGCCCAACCAATAGGTACCTTAATTTTCGTCATTTGCCAAATACCCTACTTACACAGTTGAATTTTAAGGAGGACTAAATACACAAAATAAGGCATGTGGAAGTACTTGAAAAAGTCTAATGTTGTCATCAGAACTGAAGATCGTCTCTGTAAAGACCTTGCATTAGTAGACTCCTTCCAGACCACCAAGGCAAACCCGCTCACACAACAGAGCGGGGCACAGGCACAGAGGCAAAGTGAGCAGCCTTAGAGTGGGGGTTCATGTAGTGGCGAGCCAGGATTAGGGCCCAGCCTTCCTAACTTCCACCCCAGTGGATTCTCTGCAGAATTATCATCATTATTACTGAACTGCTGAAATGAGCATAACCGTGACCCCTCCCTGCTCTCCCATCTTCCAGTTGCTCCACATACCGCCCCCCCCACCCCCCTGGCCCCGTGTTTACTAAATGTGAAGGGTTTGCTGGCTCAGGCTGGGAAACATGCTGGTTGGTCTGGGCAGCTGTGGGCCACCAGGCCACTGACTGGATCATCTGCAAGGAGCTCCAGGGTCAGGCTGAATTTTGAAAAGGTTAGAAGCAGGAGCTTGGGGACATTTGTCAGAACTAATAGGTTCTGTTCTCTCTGGAGACATCAGGAACTGTATCTGCCCTGGCTACAGGTTACTAGATCCTCCCATGCTGGAATTAAATATCGCTGTGGACATTTAAATAATTTCTCTAGGGAACAAAAGCCTGTGGGCACATGTGTGATTGTGTGTGTGTGTGTGTGTGTGTGTGTGTACTTTAAGGAAAGAAAAAGGAGGGGGAGGAGCATTTGGAGGAGCAAAACTGTGCCGTGTGGATGATAACAGGGCTGTTGTGAAAATTTTCCAAGGGGCACTGGGACTGACCTCCAAAGGAGTGTGGGGCTAAGAGACTAGAGAAGGAGGCTGGCAACTCCAAAATTAAGCCAGGAGTTTATTAAAGGAACTCATGGACAGAAGTAGAGTCCTGGGCAGCACCAAGCCGTCAGATCTCGCTGCCCGAAACGGGAAGGGGGCTTGATGTGAGTATGTAGTCTTCGGAACTGGCCGCCACTGAGAGCATCTTGCGTCTTTAGATGGCGCCAGTCACATCGAGCAGCAGAAACCATTTTGCCCAACAGGGGCACAGTGCAGCCAATGACCCGGGCTCTCAGTCTGGAAGAGGGGCTTTGGAGAGACAGAGAGACTCTCAGAGATGTTGACTGGAAGTTGGTTGGACATGAAGGTTTATCTGTTTCCAGAGCATTTGAAAACTTTTGGTGACACCATCCAATCAACTTAGTAGTAAGAGGACAGTTGCTTAGTGCTCTGTGGAAATCAGCTTTATCAGGGCTCGATAGCCCTAGAGACAGTGTGTCAATGTAGCACACGAGCAGCTGCTTCCCCTTCGCGTTCAGCTGGCTCCCGATCAGAGGGGAGCCAGCGATGCAGGATGCTCTTGGCTCCAGCTCTGGCTACACTATCAGCTCAGCATGACTATGACCAACTGGATAATGCCCCAGCCTCACTCTGCTTGAAGCTGATGAATGAAGGAAAATCTGCTCCGCTGTGTGTGGTACAGTAGGAAGAGGACTGGGATCGGTTGCCTGGATCTAGGCTCGTCTCTGCCACTAACTGGCCCTTTGATCTTAGATAACTCACTTTTCTCTGAATCTGGTTTCCTTGTCTGCAGAATGAAGAAGTTGGAGTGGATGATAATGACAAAGAACACTTTGGGTACATGAGCTATGTGCCAGGCTCTGAGCTAAGGACCTTATGAACATTATCTCATTCAACCCTCAAACCAGTGGATGCTAGGTATTATTTTTAAGTTCATGTTACATATGAAATAACTGAGGCACAGACAGTTAAATAACTTGCCATGGCCAGGACTCAAGCCCAGAGCTGCCTGACTTTGAAGTTGATTACCTGTATTGGATGTTCTCTGGGGCCCAGCATTGAAGGGCTTCTTCCTGGAAGAGGAAGACAGAAAGTGAGAGGGAGGAGGAGAGGGGGAAAAGAGGAGTGAGAATAATTTCCCTCATGGTGGAAAATCCGAGGCCTTTTTATTGTAAGAAGAGAGAGGGTTGAGTGCAGGGCGAAGTGTGGTGGCGCGGAGCTCTGTGATGAGAATCCTGTCATTGCTTAGTTTTTGCAAATATTTTCTATTTTACCTTCAAGGATCATTACTGTACTGCTGACAGGTGTAAAAACCCCCTGTGTGCCCCTCTGCTAGTAATCCCCCCCAAGACTCTAAACCATGAAACAGAAAAGTTGAGGCCATCAAACCATTTATTTATTCCTAAAAGAACATAACTGCACAAATGCGAACTTCCCCCTCTGGCTTGATCTGTTTTGGTTTGGCAAAGCCTCTTGTTTTCATGCAACTGGAAATAAGAAGGATCCAATGTCCCCCAGCACCTCACCATGTCAAGAATTTATCTGTTTTGAGTCATTACCAAAACCACTGTTAATCATATTATCGGAAAGTGACTTTGGACCAGAAATCATGGTGGTACAGTTAGCAGAGGGCACAGGTACTGGGGAAGTTCCTCACCTGATACTGAATGTGTGTGCGCGTGTGCCTCTGTGTGTGTGTGCACACGTGTGTGCCGTGCGTGTGTCCCTGCACCTGTAAGCAGGAAGAGCAGCTCACGCCTCCCGAGCGCTAGTCCTCCCATCACCACCACCGGCTTCTGTGCTTGTTACTGAGCCCAGGTGTTGAAAGCAGACAAAGCAGGGTTTAGATTTCAACTCTGTCCCTTAACGGATGGATGTGTGACGTTTGGGTTGTTTGGGAGCGTCAGAGAATGATTTCCTTGCAGGATGATGTGAGGATTCCAGGAGACCACCCTCAGGATGAGTGCTTTTTAAGTCCCCCAGCCCTGCACTTGACACCAAGCAAGCACTCCGTACTGGTACTCGGGCTACAGCTGAAGTACCGGGGCAGGTGCCTGCGGGTAACTGAGCGAGCGCCCGCTTTGTGCCACACACTGCTCTAAGCACTGTGAACGTCTTTACTCAAGTGATGCTCTCAACGGTCCCATATGGTAAACGCTCCCAGAGGGTAAAGCAATCTGTCCACGGTCACACGACTGGCAATGATGGAACCAGGCTTGAATCCAGAAGTCTCTCTGAAGAGTCTGTGATCTTACACAAATCTAGGCTGCTGTCTGTAGCTTATAGATATGTTACTGTATGTATTAATGGACTAAAATACATTATGGGGATCATCCACCTTGATGTATACTTTAATTGTCTAGGGAATTTATCAAAGCTTCCACCTGCCCTCCGCTCTTCCTGTGTGACTAGAGGCTTAACCATTTAAAGGTTAGAAGATGAAAATGCCCTCTGACCCCTAGTTTCCTTATCTGGAAAATGGGGTTATTAGGAAGATTAAATAAAGGTTTATATGAAAATGCATGACACACAGTAAATTCTCAACAAATACCTGGTTGAATTTGTATTAAAAGGGGAAGAGACATGAAATAGGCCGATGTGGCAGAAACCAGGTGCCTCTCCTTTGTGACCACCACTGGTTTTCCTTTTCAGATTGCTGCTGACGGGCCCCCTCTTGGCAGTGCTCCCTCCTCCAGGGTTCGCTCCCTCTTCCGGGACTGCCGGGCTGTGTTAGGCCTATTAGTTCTGAGATGCTGGTAGAATTGTGACTGGAAAGGGACCAAGCTGGAGCAGGTCTGCCTCGGGCCAGTCTGTTACGTGTGGGTTCTTGATCTCGTGCATGAAAGATTTCACAACAGGAGTCCGGGTGATTTTGAGAGTACATTTATTAAAGCTGGGGACAGTGGGGCTGGAGATGTCAATTTGGGAAACATCAGCACACAGAAGGTAGCTAAAGCTGGGCTGCTGCCTGAGAGCACCAAGGGAGAGTGCATGGGTGAAGGGGAGGAGAAGATCCAGGACTGTGCTTTAAAACCCATAGGTGGGTGGAGGAAGAAAGAACAAAGGAGGCCAAGAAAGAGCATGGTGGGGGTGCAGGAAAACCATGCTACCTCCTCCAGGAGGCTCCCCAGCAGCCTAGATCTAAGGGGCCTCTACCCCACTTCCCAGTTTTTCTGGATCACACTCCCTTGTCCATTTAGTTTGCAGGAATGAGTACATCTGTAATTCTCTCTTATTGTTTCTTTACTGCCCGTCTCCCTGACTGGCCATCATCGCTGAGTTTGTGCCTGACTCAGAGTAGGCACTCAATACATCTTTGTTGAATGAATGTGTGGATGAATGAAAACAAACGACCCCTGTACACAGTCCCCAAAACAAAAACGATGGCTCTAAAATTATTAAAAACAAACAAACAAACCAAAACAGAAAAGTGCAGGTCTCCTATATTCTCCACTGCCAATATTCCCTATGTGTAGGGCTGCATAAAAGTTGCACACTAAGTATGATTTAAAAGCACCTGTTCTACTTGGTGTCAAGGCCTGAAATTCTATCACTGTTCATCCACACCCTGGAGTGAGGCACAACCTTCTCAGCACAGTGCCTAGCATCTGGTCAGCACTCAATAAATGTTAGGCATTCTTTTGATTATTAGTTTGTCTTTTAAAAATGCCAATATCCCTGGAAAAGATGGCCCACAGAGTCATTAATTCCCTGGTATGAATTAGTTTGCCAGCAGCACTACTTACGGAGGGACCTTGAAGTGGGCACAGGTGTGGGTTGCAGAACAGGATAGAGTGGCCAAAAACTGCTAGGGAATCTAAGACAAATCTCAATTTGTGGTTTTGCTGAGGTCCACGCCTGCACAGCATAAAGATTGTTCTGCAAGCTGGCTGCATCAGTCATTGGCTTTTCATTTCGGGGTTGGTGAGTCTCCCCCTGAGCCCAGCCAGACCCTGGAGGAAATGAAGAGGCTCTCAAGGGAGGGGCGAGGGAAAGAGGTTGGGGTAGGGTGGAGCACAGCCTGCAGTGATAGCAGCTGCGTCTTCAACATGGATGGCTCCTCCTGCCGCTGCTGCTCACCCTGGAGACAGGTAACCGGTTCCTTTAGGGCTGAGACTTTGCTTTCAGTTTCTTTGTTACTGATCTGGAATCTGGGCGCACCCAGTATAAAGTGGGCAATCTGTGGCCTGAAAGAATGGGAGAACCAGGTACCTCATTCCCTTAAACTGCCTCCTAGGGTGCTATACACCCCAACTTCCATGTCTGACTTATTCAATATGACTGGTTTAGGTGGACATTGGGAAGGAATACTGTCCTTGTGGTTGTGGGCTGTCTAAGGCTTACAGGAAAAGGATTGGGCTACAGGTTTCATGCCTTATCGTAAGTAGTTTGGGAACCTACAGGCAAATACATATTGCTGGAGAAATTTCCCCCATCAGTCCTAGGTCCCAAACTAGACCGTGAGCACCTTGAAAGCAGGAACCATGCTCTAGTCTAGACTTTTTGGTCCCCCCAAACCCGGCACAGTGGTTGGCACGAGGGGATTTGTCTACACCTGCGTGGTCCAGCTCTGTGAACACTTGAAATGTGTCTAAGTCTGAATTGGGATGTGCTATCAGTGTAAAATGCATACTGGTTTCAAAGACTTAGTAGGAAAAAAACATAAAATAGCTCATTAATAATTTTTTGTATCAGTGCAAGTTGAAATAATCATTATTTGGGTATGTGAGGTTAAGTAAAATATAGTACTAAGATTAATGTTACCTGTTTCTTACTATTGAAATGTGGCTACTGGCATGTTTTGAGGGACATCTGTGGTTTGCACCAGGTCTCTGTTGCATAGCCCTGGTCTGCACTGCGCCGGCCTCCCTTCTCCCACCCTCTCTTACTCCCTCAGCTGTCCAGCCAGACTAGCAATGCTCTCCTCTCCGGGCACTTAAAACCATCAGAATCTTTTACTGTTCAGAGTAGGATCTTCTGGGTATTTCATATTTGTTGAGTCACTTATTACACTTTAGCAAAGGCGTTGCTCATGCCATGTAATCTATAATCACACCCTTTGTTCTTGGATAAAGGAATTCAAATGGCAGCAAGCAGGAAGGGGACCAACTTTTATTAAGCACCAGGGCTACCAGCTTTGGAAATGTTGTGTCCTTTAAATTTATTTTCATGACAGCTCTGTGAGGTATGTGTTATTTACTTTTTTATATAAAGAAACTGAGGCTTGGAAAGCTTTAATAACTTACCCAAGACCACCCATGGAATAAGGAGGGCACGGTCAGGGCTTGAGCCCTGGCGTGTCTGGCTCAAGGGAGTTTTTCCCCCACCAGTAGCGTGGGCTTCATTCTTGCATCATTTGAAATGAGTCTACAGGGCTTCCCCCACTTATTTGTAGGTCCTGTTATGCCTGCACATGGAAGGGGCTCATTAAGGAGACCCTGGGCGATTTATTCTTTATCACAGCTTTCTAGACTGTGCAAAGAGCGAGCCCAGGGCAGGGCCTCAGGACACCTGCTCGCACTCTAGTCCTGGTGTGGCCCCTAACTCACCCGGGGCAAGTAGCTCTCGCCTCTGTGAAACAACAAGGAACTTCGAAACCTGCAGTCCCAGGCCTGCTGCTGGGGGAACGGAGTAAGGCTGCCCTTGTGGCTTAATTCGTAATGGGCTTCACCTGGAGTTAGAGGAATTTTTTCTAAATAGGATTTTTTTTTAACATTCTGAGAACCTGTTATTTTCTCATGTCCAAATTTCTGTTGAATGTGCTGAAAAAGAAATTTCAGGCAAGGGAGTTCCCATTATGTGGGTGGGCAGGAAACCTCAAGTTCATTTTCCAGGACTGGGGGGCTTTGATGCCCACTCGGTTTCACATGGCTTGTGTCTTGGGAATTTTGATGGGGTACCATTGCTCTAATGACTAGAAATTCCTCATTATCTGTTTAGTGGTGGCAGATCGAAAAGGAATGCCCAGTCTCTTCATAAACCCTCTTATTAATCCCCCTGGAAAGCCTTTTATAAGAGAAGCATCACAGCGGGGACCCCCTGACAGCCTCTCCCCTTTTCAAAGCTGAATGTAAAGAGGAATGAGTCCAGCCTGGGGGCTCCTCCTGCTGCAGCTCTGATTAGCCGACCCACAGTTAAGCTCCGGAAGTCCCACGCCCCCTCCCCAAACCCGAGCCACATTCAAGCCTCTTCATTCAGTGCCCACTAATTGCTCTAAGAAAGCCTATGAAGATTAATTTTCCAAACGAGTCGCCATTTCTTGTTCTCAATCTCTGGAGAGTGAATTTAAGTGTCCTGCAGTAGTTCTTCTAAATGAATTTCAGAGTGAATGGTGATTTTTATCTAACTTCGCAGAGCCATAAATTAGTTCACTGCTAGTCTTTGACGCCTTGGGGTTTAAAAAAATGGGTCAGGGAATATATCCTTTATCTAAATCCCTTTGAACCCTGCTTCTTGGGTTCAAGGTGGGGTGGGGAAAGGGACAGAAAGGACTGTTAGTAAGGATTTGAAAACCTATTTCTTTCTTAGGTGCACTTATTAGCAGTAAGTGCCTGTGTATTTTTCAACAACCACTAACTAGTGAGGACCCTGGCCGAACACTGTGTAGCTATAAATGAAAAGGGGGGAAAATGTTATATGAGCGAAAACCCTATTAAAGTACTTCTGGAACACAGACAAAAACCAAACTTTTTCAAAGATCTTTCAACATATTGACAATGGAGTCGCCAAGGCATATGTTGCCTTCCAATTAATTTTTTTCTGTGAAAATCCATAAGAAAAAAAAAACGATGGAGGGTAACCTAATTTGGCAGGCAGCAGCTTCAATGGGAAGAACAAGATAAAGATGTTTTTCTGTTTTGCTTAAAAAAGCTTTATGCTCCGCCCTGGCTGGCTCAGCTCAGTGGATTGAGTGCCGGCTGCGAATCAAAGCATCGCAGGTTTGATTCCCAGTCAGGGCACATGCCTGGGTTGTAGGCCACGGCTCCCAGCAACCACCGCATATTGATGTTTCTCTCTCTCTCTTTCTCCCTCCCTTCCCTCTCTAAAAATAAATAAATAAAATCTTTAAAAAAAGCTTTATACTTGCCTAAAAGACCATGACATCCAGAAATGGGCTATATATGAAAAAAACAAAGGCAAAAATGACTTTAATCTGAACAAGGCTATAAGAACATGTCATTACTCCAGGGAACTGTGTGGTACTTTCAGAAACTGCTGAGGCAAATTTGTGTGCAGTTTTAACTGGGTCAAGAGCATTTCAAGGCAGAGAGCACATAGTAGGCACTCAATACATTCTGAATAAATAGGACATGGTGAGGAGCCAGCTCTTTGCTGACTTGCCTCTCCCATTGGCCCTAAAGCATCTGGAAGGGCTGTGCCTCCCCTGAAGCTAAGGGAAACGACTAGGGTGCACCCATGCTTACTCAGTGGTCAACAGAACAATGGGAGAGAAAGCCAAACTTCCCTTCCTAAGGGCAAAGCACCGTATCTGCTTGGATCTAAGGCTCCTGGTGGAGCAGCCTTGGCAGTTCTGCCCTGGGATGTGCCCAGGGGGGGAATGAAGATGAGGGAGGGAGTGGAAAAGAGGGCACCGAGAGAAAACAGAGCTGCTCCCGGGAAGGAGAAGGAGCACTTTTGCTGCAGCTAATGGGGCTGGAGGGCCGGGGCAGAAGGTGTTAGAGGACCATGGTTGGATTCTGGATGCCAATATGTGGGCTATCCAGCAAGTCCTTTCTGCGTTGGCACAAAGAGGAAAAGACCAAGGAAAACGGGCTGGAATGCCCAGCAAGTGAGGGAGGAATGGGGCAGACTGGAGAGGGGAGGGCAGGAGGATCTTGGGCTAGAACCCCGGGCCCTTGCTCCAGGCAGCAGACAATGGCTGGCACTTTCTTTCCAGCAGTCCCTCTTTACACGTGTATTTGTTTAATATGGACTCTGCAGAGGGTATCAAATTTCCAAACAAACTAAATATAAAGTGACTGTAATGAGCTCAGGCACTCGGTGCACTAGGTCAAGGTGACATTTACTGAGATGTGTTTGGAAATAGAATCTCGGGAAAGTGGAGACAGTTTCACCCTTGCCCATAACATTTCCAAATAGCTTCATGGCAAAAGCACAGGTTCTTGCAAAGCTGCTTCACTGACCTACATTAAAAGTAGCAGACGTTATAAGAAAGAGGTCAGAGTAGCAAGATAAATTATGAGCTCTGTTAGATGCAAGATCGTATGCTCTGAAAATAGAAGGGAAAACCCAGGACAGTAAAAAAGAAGTTTTACTCTTGTGAGATATTTTTTCCTGCTGGGTTCACAGGCAGCTTCAATTACGCCCAGGCTGCCTTTTGGCAATTCCGCTCACCTCTGCACACTGGCATTCTGCTGTTGCCTGTCTCTTCTTGATTGACAATATGGTGTGAACATTTTTCCTTGTCCATGAATTTGTTTCCCAAGATCACTTTAATGGCTGATTCTGTTCCACCTTACAGACGTCCCCAAACTGACACGACAACCCACCTTTACCGGGTATTAAAGATGTTCCTCAGGGCCACCGTTGTCAGTGACTTGGCAGTCACCGTCTTCTAGCCGTTCTTTCCACACACACCCTCGGCTGCTCACTCCAAACAAACCCCTCTCGTAGAGCTGCTGAGTCAAAGGAAGATGGACATTTTCCCAGCTTTGTGATACATATCACCAGTTGCCCTTCACAAAGATTGTAACAATTTGCCTTTCTGCCGGAGCGTCCTTCCTAGAACATCTTGCCAGGCTGAACATTCTCATTCTTTAAAAAAAATGGTCTTATTATATATTTATTTTTTATATTTGTATATTTTTACTGAGGTAACATTGGTTGATGACATTACATAAACTTCAGCACGCAGCTTTTTAATTCTGTATCTGTGTGCCCTATTTTGTGCTTGTCTTCAGAAGTCTAGTTTCCATCTGTCACTGCATCTTTGACCCTTTACCCACTTTGGCCTCCCCCTCCCCCTACCCCCAGGTAACCACCGTCCTGTTGTCTGCACCAATGAGTTTGTTTTGTTTTGTTTGTTCATTGTTACTTTTTTGTTTTATATTCTACATATGATTTTTGTCCT